TACAGAGGAAAATATGATATTGACCTTGGGCAATATCATATTGACACTCGGTCGCTGGGCTCCCTCAGTCAATTTCATATTACCTTTGGTCAATATCATATTGTCCCTCGGAATAAAAAATATTCAATTCTGACCAGAAATAACCCATTTATTCCACAATACATCCGTCTTTACTATTGTAATTCCAAATAAAATAGATTTTCCCGGGTACAATACGACTTTTTCATGTAATACGATTCAATACAATTTTTATTCCTTCATATTTTCGGAGTGAAAAGAGAGAGACAAGTGAAATGTTTCATTGACCATTTTATAAAATGCTATAGCTGAAATACAAGATGGGGCAAAACGGGACATTGATCACATTCTATTCACAAGAGTGTATATTATTAATGAGTCTAACATTTGTTGATGCATGTTTGTAGTTTAATTCGAATATTTCAAATGACCTTTCTTATTCAGATGATGGAAGTGATGCTATGATCGACGATACTCAGGAAGAAGATTCTAGCATTAAAAGGAACGTCCCGCAAGATGGCATTGAGGCCAGCAGACCAACATGGGCCCTCTAAGAGCAGTCATTTTTTGACGGCTTCTAAAGATATTCCTAGCAAACAAGATAAATTTAGTTCTCTGAAACACAATAGTTAATCTCTCAAATAAATCGCAAATGTGCTAACCTCTTTTAAAGAATGGCTTTGTGTAGTTATGCGTCAAGCAGGGCTCCATGTATCAAAGAGGGCTGTTTTGTAAAGATAACTACTTTCACTTTGAACCATATTTTTGCATTAGACTTACAGAAGTTGGGCAAGTAGGGTCACTTTTGGGGGAAGTGCCGCCGGAATATCAATGACCAGAGAGGTCAGCAGGCAGGCTCGCTGGTGGGAGTGCGGGCGGGCGGGCGGGCTGGCAGGCAGACACGGTTGGAGTATTAGTATTAGAGTTTGAGGTCTAGTAGGATTCTTCGACATTTTTGCTTTTCTGACTTCACCACAAATACACTTGTGTTTAAGCTATCCCCCGAGTGACCGAGTCCTACCTATTGCACTCCCGGTGTATTATGAAGATGAAGTTTGAAAATAAAGACGTTTGTATATTTTATCTCATAATGCATAAATTAGGGATCCCCTGAATAGTTATTGATTGGCGTGTATCGAATATCGTATTGAAGATATGAAATATCTTTAAGCACAAGTGCCAAAGAGAGAGGGCCAAAACTGTGAAGAAACCTAGTAAGAAAAACAAACTCTATTTATTTATCAAGTGTAAAGCTGTCAGAAGAAAACTAGACCTTATATGTCTTACACCTCCTACCCGCTCCAATTGAGAGCCAATATCACAATCCATGCCAGGACCAGAACATCAAGGGACATTTCATTAATACTGAAGTCATTGCAATACTTGTGAAAAAAGTGTTGAAATTGATAGCCAAGATTCACAACATCAAAAATACCCCTCATGCCACATATTTTGGACACTGTTTCTTTTTATTTCTATACATTACAAAGCGTTGCGCTTTTAATTAACATGACACTCATTAGATATTAAAGATAGCTTTGGCTAGAGGTCGCATCTCGTTTATTAATTATTAAGGCCAGGACCCATTGAAATACATCAGATAAATTTCCAGTTGTGTAAATTTACGCATCATTTATGCACATCGGTAATGACGTATGCCTACAGATGCCTGTCTGAGTTCATTTGGATTACTAGAGTATAGTACATAAAATCGTAAAGACTTAGACTTAATGACATGTTGAAAAAACTTTCGATTGATTGAATGCGTTAATTTTCACCATTCAAACCTCTATATGTGAGGAGCCTCGAAATGTGGCCTGAAAAGGTATGAACTAATGCATGGAACCTATCGAAAGTTGAACATGTTTTTAAAACCTGTAATGACGTTTAAGAAGGTGTTCACTGTATAGACGACGTAGCCAGAATGATTTCGTCTCTCCTAAACACTACACACCTATTCACTCACTCATGTTCTACTCGCATTCGAAAATAGCGTTCGATTTTCGTAACGCTTAAAGCTACACTCTGTAGTAATATGTAGAAATAATTTATATTCTAATTCGTTACCGGGGCTTCACATAAATCATGATATCATTTTTTGAAAAGAACAAAAACAATTTTTCTTGATTTTATATAATTCTAAAAACCATGATGTACTGAAATATCACTAATGCATTCGTCACATATGCTCCGATCCATCGACCGGCGCCCGGTCGATTGAGTGTTTTGTTCAATATTGTATTCAATTTTGAACAAAATACTTAATCGGCCGGGCGCCGTAGTGAAAGTCGGAGCAAATGTGACCCAGGCATAACTTATGCCTGGGTCACATTTGCCCCGATCCATTGGCCGGCGCCCGGCCGATTGAGTATTTTGTTCAATATTGTATTTAATTTTGAACAAAATACTCAATCGTCCGGGCGCCGTAGTGAAAATCGGAGCAAATGTGACCAAGGCATTATATTATTCACGCGTGCATATGAGAACCATTGGTCAGTATCAAGCGAAGGTAACGGCCGTAACCATCGCATCTAAGATTGCGAACGCTAATTGTCGATTTAGATGAGTTGTAGGCACATTTTTTCTCACAAACGTATATCAGTATCATATGTTTTAGAAAATGTACATGTCTGCGAAAAAATAGCTCAGAAGACAACAGAATCGTCGATTTAACTCCTCACTTTTAAAGTTACATAAACGGTATGGGTTAAAAGTGCGGATCTTAACTGTTTTTCGAAATACCGTTCATGTAACTTAGTGAGGAATTAATCGAGTGGATCACCAGTGTGTCACAGACATGTGGACTGAACTCTGCCATGATGACAATTGCTAGAAATGTGCAATACGGATACTAGTTTTAACCTTTAAATTGCCCTCAAAATGACAAGAATTGCTCTCTCAATAACCTTTACCCACATACTTTGATACATTGTATCTTTTTTCAGGGACACCCCTTGATTGGGAAACTTTGCAATCTTATGAAATTTTCCACAATGAACAGCATGGAATGGTATATAACATGATAGGATGGCAATGCTACGTGTATGAGTTTAGAGGGGGGTGCATATACATATGAAACACCCTGTATATTGCATAACATCACCATGTATATCCCAAATTATGGCATATTCTATACTTTCTATACTTTCGAACTGCTTTTTTAATGATACTTTACATAACATTACATAACAAAAGAACTCGCATAGGGGTAGCATTTACCCAGTTCGTTTTGAAGATGGCTTTCTCATCTTTATCCTACTTGGGGCTTAGATGGGGTTCAAATCCTGGAGGAGGAAGGGGTGTCGTGCCCATCTGTTGAACACCTAGTCTTTCGTTGGCTACCAAGTCGTATAATCTCCCGTTGTCAATATCCTGAGGGTCACCGGGGGGGGGGGGGGGGGGGGCCATGGACATTGCTTAAATATACTTGGTTAATAGCCCAGAAACCTTAATTTTTCATAGTTAAAATCAGAATCTCCATACACAAATCAATTCATCTTAATCAGAGTGATCAAAATCTGAAACAGTTTTGTTGTAATTAAAATTACATTAAACTTACATTAACATTGATAACCCCTCAATAACGGGCACCATATGGGACGTGAGATGGCAAAGATTTTCTGCTAATGTTATAAAATGTAATAATGTTTTGGTACTACTTTACTTTGTATCTGAAATACAGGGTGCTTGATCTGTTGGGATCCAAAGCCCATGTCCAACGTATAATGTTTGCAAAAATGAAAGTTCCACCTAGAAACGTGAAAAGTCACAAAAGTTAAATTTTCTGTAAAAGTTAAGTTTTATTTGAACTTCAAGCCTTACACTTACCAGGAATTTTCATCTCAAGGGAAGGTAGTCCACCGAGATTGTTACCTTTCTACAAAATGACGACGATTTGAAAATACACTAATTTTGCTGATTTTGACAATTTCTTTCATTGAGGTAGAGGCACAAGTCTTCAGTGGGAAATGATGTTGCGAGGGAATGTTCCTGAATAAATCAAATTTTAGGTACGTCCTCCTGCACTCTTATTTCCCACAGAAGGACCTATGGGTAGAGGTTTGTATACTTGAAACACCCAGTAATACGCCGTGCAAAAACCGAATGAATCAATACGCCGCGGAAGGATTAATGAGTTATGCAACCTTTTAAAATTATATAAACCACAGAAATTCATTCGATTAACAGAAAACAAACGAATGGTCCAGGTGTCAACTCGCATCTCACTGTATCGCTAAGGAACGAGGTAAGTAGTAAGAACCGTTGGACTGTTGGAAAATGGGCGTGACATGGCATGATGAAAGCACAACTAAAAATTGGGCCATTCTTTCCAAAATTACTTTCATCTCCTCTCTATCCCTTCTTATCGTCTGAATTGTGCTTGCATGATTTATGGATAAATACTATCTTACTAGTGCCGCTCTAAATTCATAAAAACAACATATTCTTGACGAGTAAGTGGAACAAAGATAAGAAATCGAAATATTTTGATATGTAACGATTTTTACGATAGTTATAGTAATTTAGGGTAGGAGTTACTTGTAAGGAATTCCCTTTTGAAATCTTTATTACTGCATTCTCATATAAACCGCCAAATTTATATTTTTAAATATTTTAAAGTTATTTTCTATTTTTGTGATTTTTATTTAGAAGTGTCAATATGCTGAAGCTAATAACACTAGGGTGTATATTAGCACTGGGCTCGGTTGTGTATGGCCAGAAGATAGAATGTAAGTTTTTAATTATTCGGAAGTAATGTCAATTCCATAAAACTACAATAAGACAGGATATTTGCTTTGGTTATTTCAAGATCTGATGAGTTTCAAATTCGTCAATTACGTTTCACGTATGCCGTGGTCACATTTGCTCCGATTTTCACAACGGCGCCCGGCCAATTGAGTATTTTGTTCAAAATTGAATACAACATTGAGCAAAACACTCAAACGGCCGGGCACCGGCCGATGGATCAGAGCAAATGTGACCCAGGCATTATGTTTTCTTTATAGCGGGGTGTGGTGTTGATATTGTCGTTATGCTGGATATATCCTGTAATATCACTTCGAAAAACAAGGCAATCATGCTTGAGTTTATGGTTGACTTTGCAAATGCCTTGGATATAGGACCTTCACCGGAGAAAGCACAAGTAGGATTTATAAGATTTTCATCGGTGTTGGTTACTCATTTTATTCACATATCAGGTCCGTAGCCAAGATTTGCCAAGGGAGGGGGAGAGGGGTTTACTTGCAAGAAAAAGTATGCCCCAAAAATGCCCAAAATCATTTGAAAAGAATGGTGACGACTGCATGATTTTGAAAGAAGATTGGCCGGAGGGGGGGGGGGGGGGGTTGAAGTAATTGAATACTTCAGCATGGGGTGATTTTCAAGAATTATTTAAAATATCATCACAGTATAGTATGCACAATTACTTCACATGAAATTTATATTTTAAGAGAACATCGGAACTAGCGAAAAAGCTAAACAGAATATTAGGCGATCAGCCTGGGGGGGTTGGTCGGTACCAAATCAGGAGAATAATGGCCATGGTGATTTTTGGGAAGGTCTAGACCCCTAGAGTAAGAAAATATGTGATAGCATTGCAGAAGTGGTAGCTTAATAAGTGTTATCCCCCATTTTTCAAAATGACCGCCGGTGCGCTTGCTACCAAATAAAAGAAGTTATATCTAAGCATATTGAGAGGCAAAATCAGTGATTTTAGGGTCTAATTCTGGGTTTTAGGGGTCAATGATTTGAGTTATGCCTAAATCCAGGTCATCAAAACACTAATTCATATGAAAATCCAAGATAGCCACCAAATTTGGTTCAAAAACAAATATGTACTCATGATACAAACTCAAAAAACGTTTCAACATGAATTTGAAGAGTTTTAGAAGAGGTTTTAGAGTCTAAAGATTTTATTCATGTCTAAAGCTATGTCATCAAAGGATTACTTTATATTGAAATCCAATATGGCCGCAAAATAGGTGCCAAAACGAATATGTCATTACAGTATTGGCATACGTGTAAGCTCAAGGAACAGATAAAGCAATTTTGTAGACAATGCAAGGGTTTAGGGGTCAAGGATTTCATTATGCCTCATGTAAGTCAAAGTCAGCAAAGAATTGCTTTATATGGAAATCCAAGATGGCCACCAAAATGAAAATGTAACTACATGTATTGATATAAGCTCAAAGAACAGATAAAAATTTTGTAGACCATGAAAGTGTTAGGGGATCAATGATTTTATTGTCTTAGTCATCAAATAACTTGATGTGGAAATCGAAGATGGCTGCCGAAATGAATATGTTACTGTTAATATGTGTTCAAAGTGGTTTTGGAGACCATGTCTAGATTTCAATGGTCGAGAACTTTAATTATGTCTAAAACTTAGTAATCAAATTATTCTTTTATTTGGATATTCAGGATGGCAACCAAAATGGCTGCCAAAAGACTAAGTAATTTTGGAATACATTTATTTGAATATCCAAGATGGCCCTGATAGGAAGTACCATCTCAATTGTACCCTCTTCATCGCAGCAATGAACTGGATTGTGAAAGCAGAAGAGTCCAAGTAAAGAGGTCTCAAAGTGAATGATGACACAAAACATCCTTCTTGCCAAGCCTTTATGGACATCATCACTGTTATGACCTAGTCATTCCCTGGAGCACAACAGATTCTAAGCTGCCTCGAGATGATGGCCAATTGGGCATGTATCTAGTGCAATCCAAGGAATCTTTTCAGCTGAGTGGTATACAAAGGCAGCTAATGTGCAATTATTCTTACTATCCATGATGAGATAATTGAATATCTAGGAAAATATTTTGATGAGTTTTTTAAAGATATCAACAGCATCTGTGAGAACTAGAAAAATGAATGAAAGCTATTGACCTTAGCCATGTAGGGAGTTGGTTCAAAGTCTCATACTTTCAGTTTGGTGTTATTCTCCTATGACTTTTCCAACTATGTAACTTCCATTACAACAACAGAGGCTGAGGAGAAAGAGCAACATCAACAGAGTAAGAAGGGGTGACTTGCAAAGGTTACCTGGGAGTAGATAGGCAACTTTGGTTTCAATAATCTCAAACAAACACACACCCCAAAATAAAGTATTTTAGCACTCTGGGAATCAGCTCTTGACAATGGACCAAGTTAAATTTTGGTGTATCCCGAAAGCTCTAATTGACTCTAATTCCAAGAAAAAAGAAAAAGAGAAAAACAAAGAAAATGAAAAGACAAAGAAAACACATATTGAGAAAACACAAATAAAGCAAGAAAATTGAAAGGCAGCAAAGAAAACAAAAGAAATAAAACAAAAAACAAAGGCAAAAATGAAAACAACAAAGAACACTGAAAAATATAGGGGTTATAACAGATAAAGAGAGAAATAAGCTAGAAAATAGGAAAAAACTTAACCAACAGCCAATTTGGCAGCGATTTTGGCAGCCATCTTTGATTTTCATCAAGACAACAATTTAACAATTAAAGTAAAAAGAAAAAAATTCAATGGTAACTGAAATCCTCAATCCCTAGATCCTAGTAAACTAGTCAATGATACCACAATCACTTGCCAACATCCTCTGTTAATGCTTAAAGATATACATGTATGTACATGTAAATATTCATTTTGGCAGCCATTTTGAATTTTAATATGAGGAAAGGTTAAGATGACTTTGGTAAAGGCTAAATCGAAAATATTTTCCCCTGAAATGTAGTTTCAGATATCTATTACGTACATTACATTTCCAATTTTTCTATGTGTGTATCCATTTTGGCAGCCATTTCAAATTTCTATACAAAGGTATTCTTTAATCACCTAGATTTATCCATGGATGGAATCTGTATTAACCTCTAAAACCCTATCATGGTCTGCAAAAGCACTTTTTTACTGTTCTTTGAGTTGATATAAATAGTTTACATATTCATTTTGGCACTCATTTTGGTGGCCATCTTGGAATTTCATATAAAGGATATCTACTATTTCTTAAATTTATACACAAATAAAATCCTCGGCCTCTTAAACCTATTCATGGTCTCCAAAGTCACTTTTTAACCGTTCTTTGAGCTTTTTTTTTTTATCTTATATCAATAGTAACATATTTGTTTTGAGACCCATTTTGGTGGCCATCTTGGATTTCCATATAAAGCAATTTTTTGATGACTTAGATTTTGACATAAATGAAATCCTTGACCCCTAAAACCCAGAAATAGACTTCAAAATCACTGTTTTTGCCTCTCATTGTACTAAGATATGATTTCTTTTATTTGGTAAAAAGCGCAATAGCAGCCATTTTGAAAAATGGGCGATAACACCCATAAGCTACCACTCCTGCAATGCTATCACATATTTTCTTACTCTGGAAGTATTTACCTTGCTAAAAATCACTATGAGCATTATTCCCCTAACTTGGTACCGATAACCTAAATTTGGGGGTGAAGCTGATGGCCTATATGTTTCAATTGTAGAATATTTCTGGCTCATAACCCCATTTGCTTTTAATTGATTTTAGATGGGTCTTGTAACATTCGATAACTTTGTCTATGAAGAATTCTTCTTGAATACGTACAACTCGTCGAGTCAAATTGCAAGTCACATTGAAAGAATGGATATTCACCCCGATAATGATAATATGACGAGATGTGGTCGTAGACGAGATTTAGCCCTCATATCAGCTAAAACATTGCAACTCACAAGTGATCAGGGTATTCGGGATCCAATGGGTATAGAGAATCCACCAATAAAACAGGAAGTACTGATTATCACTACTGACGGTGTTACGCTTCCTAAATATTTTGCCCCGGATACCATAAAAGAAGGAGGGGCGCTCAAACAAGATACAAGAGCTGAGGTATTCGTGATTTCTTTATCAATCGAGGAATCTAAAGACGGTATTGATGAATTCTCCGCCATTGCCAGTCAGCCTACCGACGATTTCCTTATCAAGAATGATTTCGACACATTACTTCCTTCCCTGGAAAAAAACCTGGGATGTTTCTGTGGTAAGTACAGGGTGTCCAAAAAACAGGACCGTAAGAAACTTGAATAACTCGGTCAATTTTGCATATTTTGCCTTGGAATTTCAGAATTATTTAGTTCATTCAATGTGAATTTTGTTGTGTAAGTTTGATAATAATCTACTGAGTCAAAAACTACAGCTCCTTACAAAACATGCCCAAAATGTGTAAATCTCATCTCTATGCACAATTCAATCCGGCGAACAAAGCTGTTGATGATCCTCCTACACACATGTCTTTCTGAATGGACAAATTTGTTCCAAGAACAATTGCTACTGGGGCTTACATCCTCCTGATGAAGGGTTACAGCATCCATTGCATTCTGAACAATGCACTCCCTGGGTGGCAATGAGGAAACATGGAATCATCAGTCCCTTTTGGTTCGAAGGTGACTGGGGACTTGCTATCACCATGAACAAGGACCAGTAAGTTCTCACCAAGTTTTGGAGGTCACTAAGCACCAGAAGGGACATCTAAGATAATTAAGCAGTGGTTTCAACAAGCCAATACCACCCCAACACTGCAAATGATATGCTGAAATGGTTTAGGCAATGCTTTGGTGGTCAGCTCAAAAGTTGCAGAACGCAAACCATATGGGCAGCTCATTCGCCTGATCTAAATCCCCCAAATTTTTATTTTTGAGGATTTCTCAAAGCCAATGTGTATACTGACAGGCCCCTAACAATCTTAAGAGGGCAATAACTACCCCAATATTCACCATCCACATTAATGTGTATAGGTAAGGGTCATTAACAACTTTGTTCGCAGGATTCGTTTGTGCATAGAGAGGAGAAGTGCCCACTCTGAGCATGTTTTGTAAAGGACTGTAGTTTTTGACGCAATAAACAGATTATCACCAAACCTTCAGAACAAAATTCACTTTGAATGAAGTAAATAATTCTTAAATTTCAAGGCAAAATATGCAAAATTGACCGAGTGATTCAACTTTCTTACGGTCCTGTTTTTTTGGACACCCTGTAGATCTCTCTAATATAGCTTAATTCTATTTAACCGTTTAACTCAACTTACATTCAATTTCTCCGAGTCTACTTTCTTCTTTGATATGAACGTCCCACTACTTATCAAACAATGATGTTAATCTGTTTCAACTTCAAACTACAGGTATTCCTAACTAAAGCGCAATTTAAAATACCGATATCAAACTTGACAAAATTCGAATTTGAATTTGATGGCGCTTTAATACAGCGTGCAAAGCGGCTTTGCACACCGCATTAAAGTGCCGTTGGTGTGAACCTAGCTTAACAAAATGTTCAGAGGATATTTTTGCATTGTAGTCAATGAAATCACCATTTGAGTTGTCTTACAAATAAGGCAGGTACATATGTAACCAGGCTATTTCATATTTTGAATTTCATATTGATCAATCCCCATTTGTTTCCTTGTTCATTTTAACAGGTCCTTTTAATCCTCTTGCATCAACTACTTTTACATCCAGTATTTCAGATATTTATAACCATGTTGTTTGCAAGTCACTTTTGTATATATGCTCTATTGTTTAAACCAGTTTTGTATGTTATTTCATGCTGTGTTTTTACTTTTCATTCATGTCTTCATGTTATATATATAGATCACATTCACTCACTCAGTTGAGTTTGGGTGTTGCCCAGTAAGTCAGTTAGTTAGTCAATTGTTGCAGAGATACATGTATCAGATTTTGAAATAGACCTTTTTAGACATTTTAAATCATAGTTTCTGTTGTATTTTATTCGCCACCCACGGCCTTCCATCGCCCATTTACATTGGTACCAGGAGTGGGGTAGGCAAATATAACAGCGTGTGAGGTGAGCAAATAGTTTATAGCTGACTGACTGAATTTTAGCAACACAATGGATTTATCACTCGTGACCTGTTGGTTTTGTAAAGGAAGAGGTCATCGTAAAAGACAATGCATTTCGTTTATACAAGAGATATATTATTGTTTATTATGTGGAACTAATGGAATGCATCGCACCAAGGATTGTCAATCATCTTTGACTGTAAATTGTAAATCTGTGCAGGTACAGACAAAGCCAAAAACGCACAACAAGTACAGCCAAGCAGAATCTGTAAATATGGACGTTTATACCAATGCAATTTCCGATTATAAACGGATCGAAAGTGAACTCTTTGGACAGAAGAAAGGAAATCAGATGTATAAAGAAAAAATTGCAAAATTGGAAGTTGAACGATTGGACGACAAAACTCAGCTGAAAACACAAAGGAAATTGATAAAATCTCTGGAAAACGATATTCGTGAATATAGTGATAAATAATATATCTCGACCAGTGAATCTAGTCTTCTGCAATCTAAACTTCAGGAATCCGTAAAACAAATTTCTGCACTTTCATCACGTTCCACGAATATTCAGCTATAATTGCGGACATCGAAAATAAACTTAAGGATCGAACGCAAGATTTAGAAACATATTCATCAGTGATCCGATCTCAACAAATCAGAGTCGATGACCTTGTCAAATCGTCTACTGGAAATTCCAACTTCTGGGGACTACTAGGAAATCGTATCCTTCAGAAAACCTCATCACACAATCCATATTCCACGCTTACCAACCAACCACTTATCTTTGATGTCTGAGGAACTCTTGTGTGTGTCAACTAGCGACTATATGATGATATGAGATGATATAATATAACACTGCTGTTGATATAATTCTGTTGAAATGATATATTGATTGCTGATATGATAACGATGCTGATGTGATATTGATAGTGATATGATAACGATGCTGATGTGATATTGATAGTGATATTATTGACTTTAGAATCAATGTGTTTCAATTTTATACATAATATTATAATCTAACATTTTCTTTAAGTTTGACTTAAATAATGATAATCATGCAAGTAATTACATTTGTATCTTTGCTGCATTAATAGTTAAACCATTTACAATCTCAATATTTGCAGATGTTTATTTAATTATAATCTCTAGTGGTGTATAGCTTTGCCTTAAATGGTGTATTGCTTGGTCTTAATTGATGCATAACTGCTTTAAATGGTGTATAACATAGCCAATCATGGTGAACTACTTTGCCACAAAATGGTGTATATGTAAGCCTATATTGGTGTATATAACTGCCTACCATGGTGCACTATTTTGCCTATTGTGGTGTGGGATGATATAAACCTATAATGGTGCTGCCAAGAGATACAATTTTAAACATTTTGCTTATATTCTTCAGGTTTATCATAACACAGTGCAAATTTCAGTATCTAAAATGTAGCATTGATTCAAGTATGATGCCACTTCATTACTGTTTTCTTTTGTTATTCAATTAATGTATTATGTGCATGCGTTAATTCTTAGGCACTTCAATATGGTGTTATTTATATTGTATTTTGTTAAGGTCGTGGATGTTTTTCAGGGGAGGATAAACCTTTACTAAATATTTTATTGTAAATCATTTTGAAAAGTGCAGTTTATTATGTTTTTGTAACTTATTTTTAATGTTTATGGCTGAATAAGGTTTAATGTGGGACCATTAAAGACGTTGATCAATGAAGGCTGAAATGGTAACTCAGGCAGGCTAAATAGTTCTTTGAACGTTCTTCTAACTGCTTCAATATCCACTGTAGTGCTATTATCTTCAACTACAGATTTAGTTTTGGTAGTGTTGGCAGAAGTGTCTACATTTTCCCTAACTTTTACACCTGCTAAGTCATCATCAGAATCACCAGATGGATTGTTCTTTACAGCTTCACTTTCACTCAATACAGACTTGCCCGATTCCGATTTTAACACGTCTGATGTCTCTGAGTTCAAATTAGCCGCGTCAGATTTTGGAATATTTGATTTTCCAGTGCAAGGTTCTGATTGGTCACTACAATCTGTTTGTTCTTCTGATTCGTCCTTATCTTTGTCTTCATCTTCAAGTTGTGCGTTCATTTCTTCTTTACTTGGTTGGATCTGGAAACTGAGCTCTAGCGACTCCTGGTTATTGAAGACGCTCCCAATGATACGTATGAGTTGAGACCAGTTTTTGGTGGCTTTACATTCCTCTATGATGGCTGCAACTTTCGCCTCTGTCAAGTATGGAGTTTCTTTCTTGGCTGGTGGAGAAGGGGTCTTTTTATTTTTATGAGCACTCTCAATAGGTGGTGCTTTGGTAGAGCTAGAGGCCCCTGAAGTGGAAGGTGAGTCAGTGGAGGCATCTGGTGACAACTTCTCTGGGACTTTTGCTATCTTTGTGGGTGTGTCTTCACATATTGGAGCTTTCTCTTTAAACAGCTGTATTGCTTGCACACCAGCCTGATTCCTCGTTAGGTCCTTCATGTAAAACTGACCACTGGAGGCACAGTGTTTATTGGAGCATGACGTATCTCCACAGCCCTCCGTCAGTTGGAAGAAATACTTCTCGATGAGTTGTTTAGCTGCTGCTCTTTTCATGGTTTCAGAGTTCTGGGATTGAGGTTTTCCTGAGGGCGCCTGAGAGGATGATAGGTCAGTATTTGCAGCTTGTGCTCCTTCCTCTCTCTCCTCACTCTGGTTGTCGTTTAAGCTCATACGAGTAACTGAACATATATAAAATGAGGTGGTTGGATAAATTAAATCGCCGTCAGATAGATTTTCGGCTCGTCCATTTTTGGAAATTTGGACTGTCTGAGAAGATCGTACTACTGCCTTCACAAGGAACGAATATATATTGGGATATTGACCCTCATTGGAATATGGACACTCATTTCACTTTAAAAAGTTATCTTGGATTACTTAATTCACACCAAAGGCGCTTTGATGGCGTTTTAAAGCGCCGTGCAAAGTGGCTTTGCACGCCGCTTTGAAGCGCCATCAAAGAGCCGTTGGTGTGAACTTAGCTTTATGGTTCGGCCAAAGTTCTAAAAAGGAAGCCCAATGTTCTGCTTATAAACCCATATTCTTACTATTGGAAATGGGTTCTACTAATACTATCCCACATGAATCTACTTGTTGAGACTTGATCAACTTGAGCTCTTCTGAGATAATGACGAGTTCGAGCAAGGGTGTATCGACTTAACAAGGGCCTGTGGTTATACACAATTGACTAAAAGCTGCACATCATCATGTCATCATACATTGGGATATATACAAAAATCCTCATTGTCTCAGAAGGACTCAAGTTGATCGAGTCTCAACAAGTAGATTCATTTGGGAGAGTATTCTACTATTGGGAGAATCCATTTTCAATAGTAAAAATTTGGCTTTTAAAACAGTACATTAAAGTTAAACTAAAGTCTTTTTGGAGATTTTGGTTAGCTCTAATAAAATGTTTTGCCCCTTTCATTCCAATGTTTGTCTTGTTATATTCAAACATTTAACATGGCTGAAACTAAATTGCAAACTAATTCCCTAAATCCCAACGTTACAACGTTACAAAATTACAATTAATTTTGGCGCTCTTCCCGAATATCCCGCTTTCCTCCGAACTTTTCTACGACCTATTACGACCCCGACGCTTTAATCAAGCTTTGTTACGCTTTGGTGCCGCTTTACAAGCCGCTTTAAAGCGCCATCAAAGCGCCGTTGGTGCGAACGCTTAAACAGTTTAAATTTTTAGCGCTCTTGCCGAATATCCCGCTTTACTCCCGAGCTTTTCTACGATGTATTACGACCCCGACGCTTTAATCAAGCTTTGTTACGCTTTAGTGCCGCTTTACAAGCCGCTTTAAAGCGCCATCAAAGCGCCGTTGGTGTGAACGTAGCTTTAAGACGTCATGAGCATCGTCTGTGATATTGCACAGAGTGTCGCAGAAACGTACCTTCTTGGTAAAGTTAAGTTCACACCAACGGCGCTTTGGTGGCGCTTTAATGCTCTCCAATAAATAAAAGCGGAGGAAATATAGAAACATGAACATAAACATAACACCTCCCTCACAAAAGTTGTTTTTCCTTTGAATTACTCATCCAAATTAATTTTCGTAAACGGAACTTCAAAAAACGGTTAGGACATGCAGTTAAGATTTTGCAAACAAAAATCCAAAAGTGACCTTTAATAATCAAATGTTAATACCAAGAGACATACAGTATATTGGAAGTTCAAACCTGTAAGCAGTTTCTACGGAAATGCGCAGTAGACGATCGCGACAGACAAGAAAAATGAGGGAGATAATAAAATATAACACATCAGCACTTAAGCAGCACTGGCGGATCCAGAAGCTAACAAGTGGGGGAATTTTGAGTCAGGAAAAAAAAATTTGGGCCCCTAAACCTTAAAATTGGGCCAAATTTTGAAAAATTTCCCCATTTTCTGATAATTTGGCCTACTTAAGGCCAAAATTATGCCCAAATAGGTCTATTTTGGGGGCCCTTTTTTCTTGGGGCGGGGACTCGGGCCCCATGCCCCCCTGAATCCCCAAGTGAGCATGGTATGCATCATGCCGATATCTGATCAGAAAAGGGATACAAATAGCTATGCATCCTATGCAGTACACGTGTGTGCAATCATCCTCCTGAGCAGGTGTCCAGAATACGTACCCCCTCCTTCAAATAAAGATGTTCCAAGCAAAAATATAAACTTTAGGTGAATGCAAAATAAGTTTTGGCCTGTGTTGTTCATTCATCATGTAAGAAGAAATACAATAAGCAGATGTGTAGACTCATAACCAGGATCCGATAATGTGATTTAGGCAGACAGTTGCCTACAGCTTTCACCTATTTCCTTTTTTTATATTTTGAATATGCAATGCATATCTTACTTGCGGGAAGAGAACTGCTTAGCGAACACCAGGGAGCATTTCAGAAAGGTTTGAGCCTAAGAAAAGGAGGCCAAGAGGCAACGGTCATTTTTGAAAGGGACATTTCTAAAACTACATGTAAGCCGTTTTGGAACTTCAAATATACTCATATATATGTTTAATTGACACCTAATATCAATAAAATTGTGAAAATAAAAGTGTAATTCATTCTATAACGACGCAGTATGCATTCAACCTATCCCCAACCTATATATTTTGAAATTGTCGTTTTTATAAAGCGTCCCCAGCATTCATAAAAATGGTGTTCAAGATACACTATCCAAATCATTTTGGCATCTTTGAAGCTAGACAGTTTCTGTGTGATTTTATGACAATTCGGAAATGTTCATCAGATAAGAGCCCAAAGATTTCCCAAAGATGACCTTTCGTATTGGCACGTTCGATAACCAATTTTATAAACAGGCCTCATTTGCCATTAAAAATGGATCTCACAATGTTCGCTGTTGTTTTATGAGAATTTCTACAAGTATGGATCGAGCAACTTCAATAGTATTACCGTAGTTTTGAAATGGTGATGTTGAAATGAGTTTAACTGAAATAATCGCCATTTCCACGATTTCAAATTTTACTTTGTGCATGCTCGGACTGAGAGAGCACATGTTCATAATTGTTCACGTGATAACATCTTGCAATTTGATTGGACATCATATATTGGGAAATCCCCGAATACGATAGAAGATGATAGTATTATGGGAGCTACTCACTTCCTCTGCCGTTTGATGATATAATGATATTTTGTGTTGTGAGAGTACTTGCTGGACCACGTCAACTTTTTGAGACGCTGTCTAAAAACGACAATTTCAAAATATATAGGCCGTTGATAGGTTTAGTGTATGCTGCGTCGCATATAGAATGAATAACACTATTTTCACAATTTTATTGATATTAGGTGTCAACTACACACGTATGAGACACGTATTGTTATGTTTTATGTTATACGTTGTGTTATGTTTAGCCTTGCCCCAAGTCGGTATTTTTTACTTTATCTGATCTTGAATTATTACCGCCTTGTGTAATCCGATACATCTCCACTGTTATTATGCTAAATTATGCACCAACTATTACGCGTGCGCTATAGCATTAGCCAATAGCGGTAGTCATACACAAAAATCAATAAATAAATCCACGTGTTCGCCATGCGGTTGTGAAGTTAAATGCGGCATGCTTGCAGTCTGCAAATCTAGGTATCTCCCTTACAAATAAAACGCATTCACCAGAAACATAATAACTTTTCATTATCCTTTTCACCGCATAACTATAAGTGTTTATATGTGAACTGATCAGTCATCAACTTTCTGATATTAAATCGGTTCACTACATTCAAATAACTTTCAATTATATTTAGCAGATAAAACGTTTATCGATTTTGCGAGGGTCATTTTCAGTTTTGCTAGCTGATGAAAGTAATGCGAGGTAGGACTACCCACAATGCCACTATCAAAGGTTCCGATACTAACTTGCTGATTGGAGCAAAATCAACAACTGTATTACCTCGTGTGTTTGTAACCTAAATTTAGACATTGAAAGATCGCGTGCTATTGGTCAAAATCACCGACATAAACAAACTGTCGGTAAAGCACGTGGCTTTCTCTTTGGTACAAGGCGGTCATAATAGAAATTAAGATAAGTAAAAGAGACCGACTTGGGGCAAGGCTATGTTATGTTATGTTGTTATGAAATACTAAGTTATATTATATTATGCTATGTTATGTCATGTTATATTATGTATTGTTATGAAATGTCATGAATTGTTATCTTATACGTTATGTTATGTATTGTTATGTTATACGTTATGGTATGCTGTGTATTGCAATGTTATGTTATATAATCTATTGTTATGTAATGTAATGTCATGTTATGGTATGTTCCGTTCTGGTTATGTTACGTTACGCTATGTGACGTTACGTTAATAGGTTACGCTATTTTTATGTTATGTTGTGTTGCGTTATGTTATGTTATTTAGTGTGTTCTTTGTTTCCTTACATAATTAAAACATTTAAAGATCTCAAACAAGTATATTAGGACATGATTTTTGTTCTCGTGTAGTGTGAGAAAGACGTCCTGAATTAAACCAACGGATCCAAATTGATTATGTTAAATAATGTGTGTCGTGTTTTGTCCTAGTCTGTACCTTAAGAGCAATTTGAACCAAAAGATCCAAAGGATTGCATTAATGTATTGTAACAAAGCCCCCCGGATCATGCCTTTGTGCCTATAACTATGCTGAGATAAGTGAATTTAATAAGTTAGTTATAACTATGCATCCCTGTGAATCAGATCACCAGATGTCCATATTTATAAATCTCTTACTTTATACCTTGTAGGAATATAATTTTGAAAGTAATACTTCCTCTACCACTAGGGCAACCTGGCAATACCATGGCTTAAGTGTAGAATTCATGAGTCGACCCCTGACCCTACGTCCATAAAAAACATTTGTTAAAACCGTTGGCCTTCTTGAAGCTAAATACGTACAGAAGCGAAATTTAGCCATTTAGTAACATTTGACACATGTACAGCTATATTTTAATAAAGTATTTAATTCAATTCAATTTAACTACTATACGCATCGAGATGGACATAAACAGACACATACTTCTCACTGTATGTCAAGTGGTAAGTAATTAAATTCAATCGTCTTGCTCAATTTGTGTTACATGGGCTCGTATAGTAAAAGCATATGCATGAATAGAAAAACTAAGTAAGAAAAATTAAATCCCAGACATATTTCATTAATAGAAGACATTTGTGCCAGACATATGCACTTATATAAAAAAAAATATATTATGGAATAATAGAAAACATGTACTATTGGGACATGCACTCATAGAATACATTTCTTTTTCAGTATCAAGCGAAGGTAACTGGGATTTTGGTTTCACGACCGTTACCGTATCATACATATTTCCAGCTACCTTCCCTTTAATTCGATGAAAACTTCGCTTGATATTGACCAGTGATACATGGAGTCTCAGACAAAATTTTAATGGAAAACACATGTACACTAGCATCAACGAAATATATGTTTAAATATACTAAAAAAATGCACGTACTCCTAGACATATAAATGACTGAAGAGTATACCCAAAAATACAAAATAAGACATAAATAATTTTTTCCTGTGGTTTTGATATATGATCTTTTGATAAAAATGATCCAATTTCAATATATAGTCTACAACAGCATACAATTATTGTTTTCTTTGAGTTATTACTAAGTCTATATTTTTCTATGTATCAGCTACTTGTGGTCGGTAGTGTTGCAGAATCTGACCTAGAGTCTCTCCTCCCTCAACTGAATAAATACCTAGATGGCCAACCTAATGTCAACCTCACAGAGTTTACAAACCAAGCCAAGCGACAGACAAGTCTCGTGTTCTATGCAGAACCAAAGAGTGTTAAGCAGGTGATTCTATTATTTATTGATTCTTTAGTTTTTTCCAAATGTTTAATAATTCTTCAGCTGATTTAATTGTGACCTACATGGGCTAATCCAAACCTTGCAAAATAAAATCAACCAACTAATTTGGTTTATTTATTTAGATCAAACAACTTCAATTGATTTAAGTGTGACCTACATGGGCTAATCCAAACCTTGCAAAATAAAATCAACCAACTAAGTTGGTTTATTTATTTAGATCAAACAACTTCAATTGATTTAAGTGTGACCTACATGGGCTAATCCAAACCTTGCAAAATAAAATCAACCAACTAATTTGGTTTATTTATTTAGATCCAACAACTTGTAAATGCCGCTAATAAGTTTGGTCTGCAAATAAGAGCTGTGGGAGCAAGCCATTCAGTGTCACCTTTATATCCTAACACAGGAGCTATAGCTGTGAACCTCTTCAATTTAGAGGGGAAAAAATTCAGCGGGAATAAGGTAATATGAGTTGTTTTTAATATCTCAATATAGTGTTGAAAATGTATTTAAGAATTGGAAGATCTTATTACTTATATGATAAAGTACTTAGTACTTTATATGGAATATGACATCAACTCCGTACATTATATAATTCAGGACTTTCTCAAATTTTTGGCCATATTTTTTTTATCTGAGCAAGCGCGGATATTTTCCGCCCTTTCTCTGTTTTTCAGTAACCCTTTTTATGTTTTGTTAAACTTTACTGGCGGATCCATAGATAGTCTGTATCCGACAGACCCCCTTACAAAAAACATGCAATGGGCAGCAGTTCTTCAGAGCATGGATATTTTATTGGAATTAATTCATATATTTTATGATACATAGGAGCGTACAAGAGCCTCGGTTCTTGCATCGGCAACTGCACTGGAGTTCTATAGGTTTAACAAGGCAAACCGTGTCACAGTACCCAGTGTTCCTGTCATAGGAACTTCTAGTTTCCAAGGAATGATAGGGACCGCGTCACATGTGAGTATAAGGAGTATATATTCTAATTTTCGAAGAAGATTCACATGGTTAAGTTAATTTCTTCCTCAGTGGAGTCCTATGCTGTATCATTCCATACATTGTCTACATCTTTCAGTTTTTCACAAAGAGTGCATAAACATTTACACATAGCTAGGCAAGATATAACAAATATCAGCCAATCGGAACATGCTATTTCATGTAACTGACTTAGTTATATAACCAACAATCAACCCAAGGTCAATTAGATTAAAGTGAAATCCAGGCCCGTATTCAGGGGGGGGGGGGGGTTCGGGGGGTTCCCCCCTGGACAAAATTTCTTTCATATTCATGCAGTTTTCACCATTCTGACTATTTTTTGAGTGATTTTTTGACCAAATTTTCCAAAGTGAACCCCCTCGATTTTTTTGAAAAGTGAACCCCCTTGGAAAATTCTAGCTACAGACCTGAAATCTATAGATAGTATCAAAGGGAATGGCAAGCGTCAATAGTCATTTAATCGTCACTTATAATCTGGTAAGATTTATGTACCCATTTTGCAAATTTATAAGATGAAGACCATGTAAAGAGTATCTTTTTTCAGAGACAACACTTGATTCTGAAAGTTTGCAATATTATGTAACTTTTCATAAGGAACAAACATTATATTGTATCATATCATATTATATTAATATTATGTTATGTTATATTAGTCATGTTAATGTTGAAGGGAGCTGCCCCCACTGAGGCTTCCCCAGCTAGCAGGGTTGTTGCAATAGATTTGGTTGATGGCAATGGTGACATCAGACACTTTGATGAGGAAACGGAGCCTGATGTTCTGAGGGCATGTAGGGCACATTTGGGATTGTGTGGCATCGTATACAACACAACAGTCAAGGTAATAATTAATATTTTACTTGTTACTCTCTCTTTGATGAGGAAACGGAGCCTGATGTTCTGAGGGCATGTAGGGCACATTTGGGATTGTGTGGCATCGTATACAACACAACAGTTGAGGTAGTAGCTGACATTGTTCTTTTAAGCTTTAATCTCTCTCCTCGGCATATTTGTTGATTACAGGAATCTCAACAATGTAAAAATTAGTCCCATATTCATGCACAACTCAACAACCTGAACATTGCTCACATGCTCACTGACACACAACAATATAAGGAATGCTCAAATGATCATGTGCGACTCAACAATCAGAACATTGCTCACATGTTCATGATTGACACATCAAGTTGGGAACATAAATAATGACTAACACTATGAAAAAGACATTCTGTCGCACATGTACTAAATTCTTACCTCGATCAGTAAATTGAGTGCTCTTTTTTTCTCCGTCCTGTAACGTGTAAATATAGTAGAATTTGTGTCCATAATGACAATTAGGAACTTAAAAATTTGAAGTGATATTCACATGTTCATGCCGACTCTTCAAATGTTGAGGTGATTTTGGAGCCCGATTACTCCGCAAGAAGATTGGCTCCCATAATGCAACATGACACGTGACAGCTTTCAAAATGCAGTTCCGCCATTTTGAAACCTGTCACGAGTAAATAAGGTTAACTGATGTTACATTCTGGGAGTCAATCCTCCTTGAAACACAAGAATGGCGATCCATGAAAACATTCGTTCGATTTGGTTGGAATTTATCCATCATTTGCAGGTATGAAGCGTTGGATTAATTTATTGTCCTACAAGAGTGAAAGGGAATTATTTTTCTACCGTTTGGGAGAGTCAGTTTGAGACATAAAACTAAGAATTTTGCTCATTTTGACAACTTTTGATGGCTGCGGTTTATAAAAGTTTTCCAGTTTAACTATCAAAAGAACGCTTTGATGGTATTGGCAACTCCACAAAATAATTTTTAGATTGTACCTGATAAAGTTGTGAAGTTCGCACACTCCCGTATACCAGTGGATGCCATTCTGTACAACAAAGAGAACAGGAGAGCCTTCATACATAGCCACTTCGCTATCAACATTGTGTGGGTTAGCTACAATGGTGCAACAGCGCAACAACGCAGATACACAGAAAATGATGGACTCCGCAGGGCACATGAGACTTGGACTGCTAAACAGGACATGTTAGACGTCTGGTAAATATGTATTCAGATTTAAATTAACTTGGTGATGAATGTCAATGTTTGAAACAGTTGGAATTGCTTTAAAGTAACCGAACACGATTTTCAAAAGTAATTTGATAATAAATATGTATTCGTAGTAGATGAATAAAAACAAGGAGCACATGCGTCTCGAACTCGCTACCTCGTGGTTACGCCGCCCAATCGCCCAGCCTGAACGAGCTGGCGCTCAAGCCCTCTCGGCCAACTCGGAAGTGTTTAAAAATCTTTATTTTAACTAAAAACTCTGACAAATTATATTGAGTTCAACTTAATGATGATACAGTTTAATGAGAATGTTACAATTTTATGACTGTCTCGACAATTGACCAATCAGTAGAGCTAAACCATGCCTCTTTTAAATATATTAGGACTGCTTCAAAAGTTAACAAATCTGATGAATATAATCTAAATGGGGATATTCAACATGATAACACCATGTACCATAGTAACTACAGCTATATGACATTGTCAGATTCGCTATTGTTTGAACCATGGGGTGAAGACAAATGCACAAAGATAAGTGGTTTCACTTGTTTTGCTACACCCGAGACTGATGATTTTACTGGAAGCTCTAAGACACTTGAGGTAATTAGATACGCCAACCTTTGTAATGTATTTAAATGTAAATGTAAGTGAACTCATATATACAGTATAGCCTTTTTGGTATCAACCCAATGACTTAAAGAGACTCTATTGAGACTTCTCTGTGGCATTTTTTCTTTATTCCTTTTTGTTTTGAATTTTTAACACCATAACATTAACAAACTACTCAATACGCAACTTTTCATGACGTAGAATTTTAAAATATTAAGTTTGAAAATTCCATTTTTATAATGGAGCTCAATGAGAAAAAAAAGACACAATATGAATTATTTTCAAACGTAGCGGTGCAATTTCCTTGAAATTGACAGATATAATAAATATTGGTAAGGCGAAATGTTTGAAGAAAAATGAAGAAAATTCACCTTCCTGGTTACGCAAAATATAGAAAAATGTGAATCATAAAAACCTGTAAAAATAGATTGAAGGGGGTGATATTCATTTTTAATGTGCCTCTCACTACTACAGGGTAACCATAGTTTTGGTAATGGTTTACTAATTTTAAAAGCATATCTTCCAGCATGTGTATCAAGCACAAGTAATACAATAAGTGAGTTATCATTAATTGGAATGGTATTATTGTATTCCTCAGCAATGACGACAAAAAGGTAAAATCGATCATATCACATACTAGTTCTCACCATCAGATCGATCGATTATAATGCATTTTAAACAATATGGCAATAGATCTTCAAATTCAAGTACTGAGCTAAATTGTAAGATAATAAATAAATTGGTAATCCCTTATAACTGTATAATCCCCTTCTCCGAATCATACTGAATTATAATATTTCGATATGCTTATTTTAGCTGCTGTAGTTTAGGTCACTTGATGAGATATTCAGTAACATGCTAAATAATCACTCGTAATAAGCAATATGAATTCTTCAACACAATCATTTTCAACAGCTTTTCAACACAATCATGAATTTAGTGCTCTGACCCTTAAAATACTTTTCAGGGGGAATAGTTTGTCCACCTGTAGACATGTAGCATCTTTTTCTAGCCATATTTTCCTAGGCCTGCTGGAATACATATTTCAGTGTGCAAGTTTAGCATTGTTTTCCCATTGATCATTTGAGTTCTCACGTCAATATTATGTGGAAATAAAAATGATAAGATGTCAAAAAGAGTAGTTTACTTTATTGTAAGAAATCAAAAATAAAATAAGGTTTGGGCAGGAAGGGAATAGGTGAAATCCTTGGGATACATGAATTAATTAATTATACGAAACATATTCATGTTTCTACAATTTAGGGTAACCCTGTGTTTTATTCTACTGGGACTGGTTATACCGGTGCAAAATATTACAAAAATATTATTTACTTATTATCATAATTCAATGTGACAATATCAGTCTTATCTTCAAAGGACGATTCTCGGTTTGGAGAACGAAGTTCATCAATCTAAATGAGCATTATCCCTGCTTCGGACAAATTTGATTTTTCTACATAATAAAGATTTGAATGTCTTCTTTTGATTAGTCATAATTTAATTTGGGTAATATTTCTAGATTTTTCGCAAAAAAATATTAGCTCAGTACACTGATGGACTTCTTTCCCCGAATCGAGACTTGTATTTATATTGAATCGGTCTATTTGAGCATTATCCCTGCTTCAGACCAATTTGTTATCTTTACATCTTGTAGATTTAAATGTCCTCTTTTGAATATTCATAGTTTAATTTGGGTAATATTTCTATATTTTTCATGAAAAAAATTATTAGCCCAGGAGACTGTTCTCCAAACCGAGAATCGTCCTTTGTCTATAATAGTTTGCCTGTTAGGTTGGGCAAGCCGTCTTTTACGTTGATTGTATAAGATGTTGATTTTGCAAACCTCTTATGGGCTAATTCTACAATAAGTACTGTAACATATATGTAAGGGTGCCAGTATGTAGTCCAGTATATAGTAAACAAAGGAGTATTTTGGTCAACTCAATACATCTGATAAACACTACATGAAGTGTTTTCTATGCAATGATTATATACAGGCACTTATTCATTGTTACTGTGAATTTCAAAAGCCTCCAAATTGTGTGGAATAGAGCATGCAATGTTTTTCAGTTTCAAGCAGGTTTAAGTACATTCTGACCAATTGTATTTTCAGAATTATTCATTTCAAGATTATGTAATACTGACCTACTTATCTGCCTAGTATATCTTTAACTAATTGCAAGAGATATCCGGACTTCAAAAATCAATGCCCAGGAAGTTAAGTTTCGTTTAGTGCATTGAGTTGCACGCGCACGCATATACATATATGATTATCCAAATGTAATATTATGGGGCCTTATTACCTTTTGAAGTGCACTTATCCCAGGCAAGAAAAATAATTATTATAGCATCAAAAGACACACAATAATGCATTTAATGTAACAAAATATGGTGGTATTCCTAATGTAAAAAAAAACATCATGAAGGAAAACATCACAATTCTTTCATTTCAACTGCTCTCAGCAAACATTTCTCAAGGGTGAATCAAGATTGATGGCAAATCCAGGTTAACCTTATCTTGATATCAAGTTTGATCCAACATTGAAAAAATCAAGCTTAATGCAAAATTGATATCCTCAACCTTGATTCAAGCCTGAAAATCAACACTGAATCAAGCTTGATATATTGACCCTGCGTTGAATCAACGTTGATTCAAGCTTGAATCAAGCTTGATGTTACACTCAATCAACCCAAGGGCAAGTGTGGCTTATCAATACTTCAGAAAGTCAATGTTGAATCAATGTTGATTTTCATTGAATCAACATTGAGAAATGTTTACTGTGTAGTGTGTACCCTTCACACAGGTGGTCATGGTTACCATAGGGGCAGAATATTGAATATAACATGTTGAAATTGTTTATGTATGTATAATTATTAGATTAACATTCTGTGAGAAATTGAGCCAGAATCATTTATTGATGTTGACAATATAGTTAAAGCACTTTTCATCTTACCGTCTTTGTACACCCTGTATTATAGATACAGTATTACTCTGGAACATTAATTCTTACACATATGGTGCTTTATTCCAGAACTTCGTCCAAATTGTTGAAAAAGGGCTTAAAAACATTGGCATTTTTAACCTGTCACCCTTTGCCTACTTTAGATGGCAGACACACAATTCAAACTGTCCCCTCTGTCACACTAAGGTAAATAACTTGTACTCTCTCTTCTGTTATAATAAGGGAAACAACTTATACTCTCTCTTCTGTCATACTAAAGTATAAAACTTTTATACCCGAGTAAATAATTTAATGCATAATTCTGAATCCTTAATGACAAAAATATCATTCGATGCACAAACATCGACTGTCGAGCAATACACTATCCTCATCACCGCTGCTAAATGCTATTGACTGCTTCTAGTGTACTGTTGACCGCTAACATTACATATCTGGCTGGTGGCATCGAAGCTGTAGGAGATTTAACATCTCATTATTTCTACTAGCAATGTCCCATTAGCTGATACTATTCAAGTAAATTCACGATAACAGTCTCCGCTATTATGTCTGTGTTATAGGTGGCGGGAGAAAATGGCAGGGCACTCATACCAGAGCTGGTATTTCGCTATAACGACTGTCTTCATCCTAGGCACGCTGATGATGAAATAAGTGCACTTCAAAACTTTGAAACACTGGTACGTATATTCAAAATATTTTCTGTGTGACAACAAAATTGGTCCAGAATATACAAACCATTTAAAATACCATGTGCAAATTCCAATTTAGAAAGATAGTTAAACAGTCAAAGTTTTCCTCGGAGCTAGCACTAAATTTTTGCTACCCTTAAATAGTACATATATGACAACAATAATTCCAAAGTACTCTACATACCATTTTTAGGACACTTTTTAGTCGTATGCTTTATAAGGTCTTATAGCTTAGTATTGTGGAAAACAATGGTCTGACAATTATTGACCGAATGCACTTAAGAAAAAATGAAGAAATTATGTTGGCAGATTTCAATTTTTCGAATATAAGAGGGACAATCTTTAGATTTTTAGCTCACATCTTTCACTTCCAACAAATAGTTAAGGGTCCATTTTTAGAATGTAGATAAAACGAATGCATTCAATTGAGATACCTTATCCATTATCCTTGGTTTTTTAAATAACCCATTACTACTTGCCTCTTTAGTTGACAGATGGAATGCTCCAAAACGCGACACACATCGCACCACATTGGGCCAAGTACGACATTCACACTCCTAATGTGCCTGACCTCATCCGTGAAGTCTTCAAGAATGAGCTCAGTGAATTTATAGCAACCCGTAATATGCACAAACTGGACACTGGAAATATATTTATGAATGATCATCTCAGAGATATATTTAGGAATGAGAAACTAGTAACTGGAAATAGTGTGTCAACTATCCATACTTTCAACATGTTTACATGTTTAACAATTGTATTAGGTGTCTTAAAAGCATAATCCCATATGTTTTGCAACGAGTTATATAAGGTACACTATACTAAAGTTTCGTGAATATGTGGTCTGGACATTTCATTTAGTCAACAACACATCTTAATTATTTTCATAGAAATGGATTTTAATAAATGTTAGTCTTGCTTAAAAGTAGATATGTGGATAAGAAATCAATTATAAAATTTAAAGAATTGGTGTGAAAATTCGTGAGTTGAAACAAGCATTGTCAACAGCAATAACTCTGTGAATATATTGTTATATTGAAATAATAATTTAAATTGTTACTATTATTATTGTTACTCCTAAGACCAAGAACAATTATATATCTAACTTGAATCACACACTGAATCTTATAAAAGGTAAATGGTTTTTACTTTTCAACGATTGAGTGATTGAATAATGTGTAACTAGTACATGTGACAGTCCCCGTGTAACCATCGAACATGGATGTAGCAGAATTTGTAAGTAAGCTTAGATCAATACACTCTACTATACCTAACACCTAGAAATGCATAAGATACTCTGTTTGTCTAATTGTATTGTTTAGTATATTTTTGAAAATACCTTATTAACATCTAATAAACATCCGATAAACCATTCATAAGGAACAGACACATAAAAACAAATAACATTATCATTACTAATAAGCCAAATGGGTTGCTTATGAACACCAAATGCAAGGTATGGTAGAGTGAATACTGTCTAGGTGGTAACACACAAACTTCTAAATTGTTTTATCTTAAAAAGTTGTTAATGAGACTTCTCCATGGCGTTTTTTCTTTATTCCTTTTTGTTTTGGATTTTTTACACCATAACTACTCAATATGCAACTTTTCATTACGTAGAATTTAAAAATATTAAGTTTGAAAATTCCGTTTTTATAATGGAGCTCAATGGGAAAAATGACAAAATTTGAATTATTTTCAAACGTAGCGGCGCGATTTTCTTGAAATTGACAGATATAATAAATATTGGTAAGACGAAATGTTTGAAGAAAAATGAAGAAAATTCACCATCCTGGTTACGCAAAATATAGAAAAATGTGAAATAATCATAAAAACCTGTTAAAATAGATTGAAGGGGGTGATATTCATTTTTAATGTGCCTTTCACTACTACAGGGTAACCATAGTTTTGGTAATGGTTTACTAATTTTAAAAGAATATCTTCCAGCATGTGTATCAATCACAAGTAATACATTAAGTGAGTTATCATCAATTGGAATGGTATTATTGTATTCCTTAGCAATGATGACAAAAAGGTAATGGACAGGTTTACTAATTTTAAAAGCATATCCAGCATGTGTATCAAGCACAAGTAATACAATAAGTGAGGTATCATTAATTGTATTCCTTAGCAATGATGACAAAAAGGTAAAATCGATCATATCACATACTAGTTAACCATCAAATCAATCTATTATAATGCATATTAAACAATATACACTCCCCTCCATAAGTTTGGCAACCTTTTTTCCCCATTGAACTACGTGTTAAAGCCTCTTTACCTTTGAATTTTTATTTACTTAACCTGCGATGAAAATACTTATACTATTGATCGAAACGTAATTTAACTTTAATTCCAATACCTCAAAATTTTCTCAATTTTTTTCCTCAATTACAATAGGTCGAAAATTGATGATAAATTTGATGAATTTTTGAAAATCGACATTCCCATGTTAACCAATGGGAAATGGTAGGTTTGCCGCAAGTCATATGACAGAATATCCATCCATATGAGTCCTTGCAAAAAATACGAGTTAGGCAGGAAATTGAATTTGCTAACTTTATTTAACAAAAAATTGATATGTTTCTTTAGGTTCAACAAAGTTATAGGGCTTTAAAGTCAAAATTGTTTTTCAAAAAACCTCTCCCATTGAAATAACACAAGAGGCGAAAAATTATTTTCAAAAATGACTTTGAAGTGCGGTAACTTTAATATTCATCAAATAAACTAAACACTTAGTGTTCAAAAAAGTTAGACAATTCAATTTTCTATATAAATTTTTTTTGCTGAATCTTTTACTGAAAAGATATCCTGATTTCTGATTTGCCCCGAACCCTTCATTTCCCATTGGATTACATGGGAATGACGATTTTCAAAGATTCGTCAAATTTATCATCAATTTTCGACCTATTGTAATTGAGAAAAAAATTGAGAAAATTTGGAGGTATTGGAAATAAAGTCAAGTTACGTTTCCGTTAATATTATAAGTTATTTCATCGCCGGTTAAGTAAATAAAAATTCAAACGTAAAGAGGCTTTAACACGTAGTTCAATGGGGGAAAAAGGTTGCCAAACTTATGGAGGGGAGTGTAGCAGTAGATCTTCAAATTCAAGAATTGAGCTAAATTGTAAGATAATAAATAAATTGCTAATCCCTTATAATTGTATAACCCCCTTCTCCGAACTATACTGAATTATTTCAGTATGCTTATTTTAGCTGCTGTAGTTTAGGTCACTTGATGAGATATTCAGTAACATCCTGTCACTAGAGACAAAACTTGACACTAAATAATCACTCGAAATAAATTACATGAATTCTTCATATTTTAGTCTTTGGTAATAAATCCATTCTTGAAAATTAGCATTCAGAGATTTTCAATGCAATCATGAATTTAGTGATCTGACCCTTAAAGTACTTTTCAGGTGGAATAGTTTGTCCACCTGTAGCCCTCAGGTGTAGCATCTTTTTCGAGCCATATTTTCCTAGGCCTGCTGGAATACCTATTTCAGTGTGCAAGTTTAGCATTGTTTTTCCATTGATCATTTGAATTCTCACGTCAATAACATATGGAAATAAAAATGATAAGATGGCAAAAAGAGTAGTTTATTTTATTGTAAAAAATCAAAAATCAAACAAGGTTTGGCCAAGAAGGGAACAGGTGAAATCCTTGAGATATATAAATTAATTAATTACAAGAAACACATTCATGTTACAACAAGTTAGGGTAACCCTGTATTATTCTACTGTGCATGGTTATACCCGTGCAAAATATTACAAAAATATTATTTACTTATTATCATAATTCAATTTGACAATATCAGTCTTCTCTTCAAATTTGTCTCTAATAATTTGCCTGTAAGGTTGGGCAAGCCGTCTATTATGTTGATAGTATAAGATGTTGATTTTGCAAAGCTATTATGGGCTTAATCTACAATATGTACAGTAACATATATGTAAGGGTGCCAATATGAAGTCCAGTATATAGTAAACAAAGGGATATTTTGGTCAACTCAATACATCTGATAAACACTACATGAAGTGTTTTCTATGCAATGATTATATACAGGCACTTATTCATTGTTACTGCGAATTTCAAAAGCCTCTGAATTGTGTGGAATAGAGCATGCAATGTTTTTCAGTTTCAAGCAGGTTTTAGTACATTCTGACCAATTGTATTTTCAGACTTATTCATTTCATGATTATATAATACTGACCTACTTATCTGTTTAACATCTCTTTAAAGAACGCGCAGCAACAAGAAAAGAGTAGATGTACATTTACATATTTTCAAATGATGGAAACTAATAAAAACTGTCAATCATCTTATGTTCCACACTGGCTTTCTTTTTTTGCTTTGATGCATTTCGATGCATTTTGCTTTTGGAATTTTTGGTGGTGGAGCTTGGTTTCAAGACACAAATACCACTGGGGGGTATCGTGATGCAACAACACCGTGTTGTTGCATCAAGATGGCCAGACTTCCGGTGATAGATTTTCGTACGATATTTTGTTTTCCCAATTTAAACCCATTTCTAGGACGAGTTACTCAATAATCATACATGTGCAGTTAGCTCATGATCTATATTTTAAAAAACTCTCACTAGTATGCATGTAGCATCATCAAGAAGCGAGAAATTCGCGGTTTTAATTCCTCACTATTGATGCAACAACACCACTCTGTTTATTATCGATGATGCAACAACACCAATGTGCTGATGCAAAAACGCCAATATAATGTATCATTGAATATCAAGAGAAACTGTTTTATGTTCTGTTTATAGGTGTTGGTCGGGACATGAATAAAACGCGTGAGTGCGTGGTTCATGAATGAAACGTATTTTGTTTGGTTCCTTAATGTATTTGTCTTTATCAAAGTTAAAAGGATATACAAGGTAAACTAAATACATAGGCTAAGTAATCCCAGGGAGCCAACCTCATTGATATTGTATCTAAAAATAAAGATTATTCATTTTCTAAATTAAATCCCCTTGATTTACCGTATAGTATGGAACTTGTTTACAAAGAACTAATATAACTAGACTTTGGAAACAAGTCCAATTTCAGACTCCAGATCTAGAGTCATCCAGAAAAAGATGGATGGGTGGATGGATGGATGGAATAGGAAGGAGGGATATGACAGAATAGAATGGAACGATAGGAGAGAATAGAGAAGAAAGATAGGATAGAATAGCAATGGAGGAGGAAGGATAGGAAGGAAAGGATATGAAGGATAAATAGGAAGGAACGGATAGGGATAAAAAGGATGGGATAGGAAGGATAGGATAGAATAAGAAGGAACGATAGAATAGAATAGTAGGATAGGATAGGAAGGATTTTTCAATATTTTCTTCGCTACTCTTGACTTTCTATCAGGATAACATCAGATCGATTTTTATTGAAATTTCAAAACGCCATAACTTCGGATCGAAATTTGGTTTGCAGATTCTGATTCCTGAGAAAATTATATTCTTCATTCATAACTCAAACGTTTTATTTTGACCTACTTTTTGGACACCATATCTCAAAAGTGGATTAAAATACTTTCTGACGGCAAAAGGCTAACACTATTAGTACACTCTTGGCTACATGTATACACAATATCGAAGAATATAATTGAAGTGTAGTGTCAGAATCACAAAAATAAGGAAAACTTCGAATTTGACCTAGATTTTGACCTAGACATTTTTGTGTCCAAATTTTGAAGCTAGATTGCTTTTGAGGTACTCTTCATTTAAAGGCTTTCATTAAATTAAGCTGTACTCGGTCGTATATATGTCGTATTTTACACTTCAAAAAAAATATTTTTCCCATTGACTTAACATGGGGCACCAAATTTAGCGATTTTGAGTTTTCAAAACGCCATAACTTCCGATGAGTGTTGGTTTAATGATATTGCAGTTGTACAATGCTATTATATAGAGGTTATTTACTGAGAGGGATTCAATATTGGTTTTATTCCGGGAGACATTATGATATTTCCCGAGGGCCCAGGGGGAATCTGGGATTACTGTACCCCTATCAATTTACCTTTTCGGGACCTAAATCCTATTACCTACCTTTATACTCAATCGGGGAGAACGAATCCAAAGAGAACAATACTTCTACATGTGCGCCCTGCAAGATTTCCAATAGCTCGTCGTGTTTACCGAGAACGAAAGATGTTTGTCCACCATTTAGAATGATACTAACTGGTATCAGGGTCATCAAGCTATCGAACAGGGGTTTATGAAAATAGATTGGGTTACTATAGCTTGTAATGTTAAAGGCGATTGAACTATGTTATAAAACAACTTCCAGTGCATTATGATATTTAAAAGTATAAATTTTTGAAAATACATATATATACATATAGAATCTTCGCCCACAGGACGTGTATTTTGAATGCCTGAGAAGAACGCAAATGGGTACTGGCCCGGTGTTGCAATAGTAGCATTTAAAAATGTGTTCCTCCCGAGATTTATGGTCTTCTGAAATAATACTATTAATTGGTGTTGTTGCATCATTGCTCAAATCTAGAGGAGTGTTGTTGCATCTTCGGTTTGGTGTTGTTGCATCAATAGTGAGGAACTAAAACCGTGAACTTCTTGCTTCTTGATGATGCTACATGTATACTAATGACAGTTTCTTTAAATATAGACCGTGTGCTAACTTCACGTGTATGGTTATTGAGAAACTCGTCCTAGAAATGGGTTTAAATTGGGGAAACAACATATCGTACGAAAATCTATCACCGGAAGTCTGGCCATCTTGATGCAACAACACGGTGTTGTTGCATCACGATACTCCCCAGTGAATACACTAAATTAAAAAAAAACATGGCCTTTGATAAAAAGTTATGACAATTCATCCTATTAACGATGCAGATTGTGAACAAAGGAGGTTTCAGGCTTCCCAGCTATCCACCAACGCAAACATTCCTTGTACGTGAACCATGATTCTTACATCACGAACATAAAATCTTATGTCGCGCACCACCATTGCCTCGCCCCCGAACATATTTCTCCTCTCGCGCACAGAGATCCGAGCCCGTGAACAATTTGTGCATAGTGCATCCGGGTATTTGGGATTCCAAGTTATATGGAGTTTAAAGATCCTGTTATCTTCAATATATTCAATATATAGATATTCATCAACATGCGTGAAAACTTGGAAAGCAATTCTTCCGAATAATTACAAATAAAAACATGTCCAGAACAAAACATGGCCAGAAAGTACTCATGGTGAAAAATAAGACAATCTAAAACCACTTGCAATACTGCACATGGCCCTTTGTGCGTTAACAGACAACTAGACTTATAGCTAGCATTTGTTAATATGGTTTAAGAGCACAATTGCCCACATGTTTCCACATTTGCTTTTTTATTATGTAATGATTAATGTACAGCGCACATCTTTCTGGAAGGGAGTAAATTGTTCACTGAACACAGGGGAGCGTCTCGGAAAGGTTTGAGCAATATCTGTATCGAGCTTCATTGGGAAATTGAAATTAAACTGTTTCGTCGATATATATACCGTTTCGTGATTTACATGACATTGGGCCTAAGGTCTCAATAATGAATGGTTTAGTCATGTACCTGACCTTAGGCCTACGGTCTCATCATTGAAAACTTCAATACACCGACCTTAGGCCTAAGGTATAAATGACATATTACATACCTTAGGGGGGTTAGTTGAGAATGTAACTGAAAAGTTGAGAACCTGATATATTTTTGTAATGTGATATGCATGTATGAATTGTTTTGCTCTCCAATAAAACGGAGGAAATAAAGAAACATAAACATAAAACCGATTATATCATATTTTGTCTGTTATGTTTAAGTACAATCTAAACCAATTGATCCAAAATAATTATGTCATTTCCAGTTTTGGATCTGTCATCGACAAGTATGCAATGATACGTGTATGTGTGCCTCGTTATGTTATTTAGCATAATCAAAACAAAAGGGCGGACCCAAAACAAATATGGTATACCATATATGTGTCATGTTTCGTTCTAGTGATGGGCGAATGACAAAATGTATTGAATGTACATTGGCTGAGAACTTGTATGAAGATTATGCAAGTCCCGATCTGAGAGTTCCGCAAACAATACCTCCCCGACCACAAAGTTACACAATAGCTAAAGCATAGAATTTATTATACAACCACCTGCTGCTGCTGCTGCGCTCATAAATGTTTCGTGAAACATTTGGTTATCTTGAACCTAGACACAGCGCTGTTTAGAACATGTGAACCTGGGTCATTTAGTAATATCTCACACATGCAGACAAACGTTTCAATAAAGTAATTCAATTCTGTCGACGTCGAGTATATAATGTGAGATGGACATCTTTAGACGCATTCTGCTCATTGCTTGTCATGTGGTAAGTAAATTGAATTATCAACTAAATTTGTGATCAATAAATGAATTCTCATACATTATGTATTAACGGATGATTTAATGTACTCTCAAATATAGGTACTAAAGGCCCACTAAAAGTAAATATGAACTACCAAGTTCAGCGACTTCTCCAAAGTGGCAATAGAGATGGTCGAAAGGAGCTAGCTGCTTTCGTGCCGTGGGAAGAGATATGCGGCCGATTACTCAATTAGTACAAAATTAGTTTAATTAGCACTCTGGTAAAAGTACGATCATGAGCACTCATGCCATGAGTGCTAATTTAGTATTTATTTTGTACTATCTGAGTAATCGGAATATGTATGAGTGCTCATTGAGTAATGGAAGATCAATGAAATTACTGCTATTTTGTCACTCATCATATCACAGGCTGGTATCGAAATATTTGTCCGCTGTGACGGAGCATGCTATTTTTCATAAAAACACTAAGAATACTTCACGATTTATTTTTTAACTAATATGTTTCGTTATACCATACAAAATTACTTACTCCATGCAATGGATATATCATTTGCGGGTAACTTTCACTTCTGTTTGAAGTCCAATTACGCTGGGAAGAAAAGCTATTGAAAATGGCGCCGGAGTATCATACTTCAAAATGTACCATTTCTTGTTTAACTTTCTAATGGCACGATATAGTGACACGATAATATTTACACATGGTTTCAGCATAACTATGAGGGTATAAATGAGATGTTGATGTATTTGGTCTTTTTAATTCTTTTATAAAAAATATTGTTTAATTTTTTTGTCCGCTGTGACGGAGCAGTTGCAATTGTGAACTGTCAAAATGCTCCGTCACAGCGGACAAAAAATATTAATATTATTTTTTATAAAAAAATTTAAAAGACCCAATGCATTAATATCTCATTAATACATTCAGAGTTATGCTGAAAACATATGTTAATATTATCGTGTCACTATATCATGCCATTAAAAAGTTAAAAAAGAAATGGTACATTTTAGAGTTTGATACTCTGGCGCCGTTTTCAATAGATTTTACTCCTAGCCTTATTGGACTTCAAACAGAAGTGGAGGTTACACGTAAATGATATATCCATTGCATGGAGTAAGTAATTATCTTTGATATAACGAAACATATGAGTTAAAAATAAATCGTGAAGCATTCTTAGTGTTTTTATGAAAAAGAGCATGCTCCGTCACAGCGGACAAATGTTTCGATACCAGCCTGTGCATATGAGTACTCATTTAGTACAAAAAATCAATAATTCAGTACTCATGTCATTAGTGCTCATTTAGCACTAATATGTACTGATATGAGTACCCACTTAGTGCTTGAATGCCATGAATACTATTTTGGTACTCTGCTATCTCCTGTATAAAAAATATGAACTCTCGGGAGTATGCACGATAAACAGTATTTGTTAAAGTTATCGGTTTGAATCAAGTTGAAAAATACCTTTCTGACCTTTTTGACTTTGAGAGGGTCATCAGAGGTCAAATCTGAAACCTAAATTGAACTGTGAACTTCTGATAACTTGCAGATGATTTTAAAAAAGTTGGTCAATTTAAAAATACCCTTTCACCTTTTTTACCTTGAGAAGGTCGTATGTCAAATCTCAAGTCAGATTCTGAGAACATCTGCATTATTTGTTTCTCTGATTAGACTGTATTATTTCCATGTGCCAGTTCCTAGTGACTGGCAGTTTTGCAGGGTCTGACCTCGAGTCTCTCCTCCCTCAACTGAATGAATACATTGATGGCCAACCTAATGTCAACATCACGGAAATTACGGAACAGGGCGAGCGACATACAAGTCATGTGTTCTATGCAGAACCAAAGAGTGTTAAGCAGGTACATGTAAAAGTGACTTTAATTTTTTAAATATTGAGCTATGAATTCTTCATTGGATCTAAAAATAACTTCCTGGTTCATTCGAAAAAAATCTTGAAACAATTTCTTCAAAATAATTCAATAACCTAGTCAGTCTTGTAATTGAATCCAATAATAACATCCACTGATCCGCATGATACATCATAATTAAAATCCTTTTTAAAACCGGTATTTCATATATATTATACATACCTTCTCGCAGTTGTGAGCGAGATGATAAAACTGGTCAAGTGAACTCGTTTTAGTTATCTATTCGCCGTAAAAATATCACGGAATGTGTGTATGCATGAATAGTGTAGCTTTGGTTTGGTAAATCAATGAAGTATGCGGATGAGTAAATATAGATTATTTAAACAAAAGCGAAAACATCTTCCATTGAAAAGTAGAGAGACGGGCACTTACGATACATTACATGTACATGACTGCATTCACATAGCACAGTGTTTAATCTTTCTTTTAAAATATCAAAATATTTGGAAAATCAATAAACTTATATTCAGTATAATGTTCACCGAGCACAAATGATGGCATTTTGTTCAATTGTTTTGTTTTTAGGTCTAATGTCATTTTCGCTAGCACTGATTGGGAAAACATAGTATGAAGTACACTATTTATAGCTACAACAAACGTTATTTCTTCATAAATTATTTCTCATTTTCAATTTTCGTTTTCTATATTGTCGTGATTGCCTAAGCCAACTCACACTCACCAACTTGAATATATTTTTAAAAATATCAAGTATTGATGAAGTTAGAACAAAATTTTTTTAAAGACTTTTTTGGACAATCTTCGTAGAGTGCTCCTATAGAAACCTTTAATAAAATCAACCTACTCTAGTTAATTTCTTTCTCTCTATTTTCTTTCTTTCTTTCTTTCTTTCTTTAGATCCAACAACTTGTTAATGCTGCTAATAAGTTTGGTCTGCAAGTAAGAGCTGTGGGCTCAGGCCATTCATATTCACCTGTATACCCTGACACTGGAGCTTTAGCTTTGAACCTATTCAATTTAGAGGAGCAAGCATTCACCTTAGATAAGGTAAGCTAGTGTGTCTTTGAAGAGAGAGAGAGAGAGAGAGAGAGACATACCTTCACTCATACTATATAATAGGACATGATATTTACTCAGTACATTATACAATATAGGACATTCCCTCATCATGATAAACCATGACGTCTCATTTTCTCTCAGTCCTGAGGTTTCAGGTGAAACAGAAAGATGCTATGAGTATCAGAATGACCTTCCATCAACAGAACCTCCTCTACTTAACTTTATTTAGTACTTTATTTATCACAGAACATTAAAGACCCGCTATACTTAATTTAGAAGAAAAAAGAAAAAATAATCATTGAAAAATGTTATTCACACACTCGCTCAAATATGAAACAAAGTTTGATTAGCTTTAATATTGAACCCAAAAAAACATAAGTCACATAGAAAAAAGCATTTGAAGTTCAGAGATAATTTGTGGTGCATGCACATGCTCAACAAAGTGCATGTTTTAAAAAACTTTTGCTTTAAAAGATGGAGACACGTCTACAAAAATGTAGGACCTTTACTCATTACTTTATATAGGACAGGGTATTAAGTCAGGACATTATATGATTTAGGACCTAAACTTAGAATATGTATATCTTGGTCACGCAGTACATCATGCAATACGGGCATTTACTCGGTAAATGTAATGCAGGACCTTCTCCCAGTATTTCTGATAGTACAGGATAATAAATCAGTTCACTCAGGTCTTTAACTCAGTAGATATATATATATATTTCAATACCTTCACTCAGTACATGCATAAAATGCAGAACTTCACTCAGAAAGTAGGATAATACATTAAGTCAGTGCATGTACATGAACTGTATATACTGGACCTATATAGTCATGTATACTGTATGTTTGCCACTATACTTGCATGTAGGAGCGTACAAGAGCCTCGGTTCTTGCATCAGCGACCGTACAGGAGTTCTATAAGTTTAACAAGGCAAACCGTGTCACAGTACCCAGTGCCCCTGTCATAGCACCTTGTAGCTTCCAAGGAATGACAGCCACTGCTTCGATTGTGAGTATGAAGACCATATATGCAGCATCGAGTGCTAATTTTAGGAAACAACGCCTGCAAGGAATTGTCATTCTACAATGCATTGAGTATATGGCTTAAATTCTGTTCACATGTTACAATTCTTTTTTACAATATCACTAAAAAATATGAAATGACCTTAAAGAATATATTTTTCAAGTAAACTTTATGCAATGGTCAATTTGTCACTTCTGTTTGTGTCAGTCGTTATCATCGATTCTCATCATGACAACCATACAACACTCAACATTTGACCTGCATAAGCACCACCGTTTTTGTATAGTTTCTATCATTAAAAAATGTTCCCGTGCATTCTTTAAAAATAATTTTTAATTCTGTGTTGCCGCTTACAATATTAAACAAAGCTTACTTTCAAATTCTCCTTTTACTGTTGAAGGGAGCTGCCCCCACCGAGGCGTCCCCAGCTAGCAGGGTTGTTGCCATGGATCTGGTTGATGGCAATGGTGACATCAGACACTTTGATGAGGAAACGGAGCCTGATGTACTGAGGGCCTGTAGGGCACATTTGGGATTGTGCGGCATCATATACAACACAACAGTCAAGGTACAGTGCTCACCATAAATAAATGACACCTGGATTTTCTATCACCATTTCAAGACCATGGTGATTTGAGACCTCATACTTTCCAATAATGTCTAGATACACATCCCTTAGGTTTTGTATATTTTACATTTTGTAAACACTCATCCACTGATGTATACATGTAGCCTCTCAGAAGAGGCTCTTGAAAATTCTCTTCTTTTTAACATGGGAAATCCTCACTTCAGCAAATCTAGGTGCCATGTATTTATGGTGAGCACTGTAATAACAGATATTTTACTTGTTACTCTCTCCTATACATATTTGTGGATAACAGCTAGGCGGGCAGTTAGGAAACTCAACAATGTAAAAGTTGTTCCATGTTCGTGAACAACTCAACAATCTTAACATTGCTCACATGTTCAGGTACACGCAACAATCTAATAATTACTGTCAAATGTTTACATACGGCTCAACAATCAGAACATTGCACCACGTGTTCATGAACACGCAACAAACTCTCGGAGGTTTACATCAGCTCAATAATGTTAACATTGCTCACGTGTTCATGTACACACAACAATCTAATAATTACTCTAAAATGTTCATATACGGCTCAACAACAAACTGAACACTACTCACATGTATATGGACACAGAACAATCTGATGATTGCTCAAATGTTATACTGAAATGAACAATTGTAGGTCGTGCCTGACGAAGCTGTGAAGTTCTCACACTCCCTTATACCAGTGGATGCCATAATATTCAACAGAGAGAACAGAAGAGCCTTCGTCAACAGCCACTTTGCCATCAACACGATGTGGAATATCTACAATGGTGCAACGGCGCAACAACGTAGATACACAGAAAATGATGGACTCAGCAGGGCACATGAGAGTTGGACTGCTAAACAGGACATGTTGGACTTCTGGTAAATATGTAGCCACATTTCATAACTTGCTCATTGATGCCGATGTTTGAAATTATCTGTATATCGGTAGGAATTGAATACCCTCTGTATCAAAAGTCTTTTCCTAATAAGTTAATCCTCAGATAACTTTAGTAAATGACCAGAAAACTTAATGAAACATTGCACAGATAGTTAAAGGCATATGATACACATTAACCGAAAATTTGAAAACGATTGATTAATTTTTACTCAATATTACATATAGAACATAGCATACACCAAAAACACCAATGTGACTTTTTCCAAGTTTGTGACGTCAAAGTTACCTAAGATTGCCAAACTAACCAAAGTCAGGCTGTTCTGTAAAACAAAGCGGACAAAGGTCTGTAGATATAAAATGCTTATTATGAGCAATCAGAATGTGACTTTACAAATGATCCTGTTCATGACAGTTGTATATTTCATAAAATAAAGATGTCACTGAAAGTTGTATAATAACAATATGCAAAAGTCCTTACACTTGGGTCTTATAATAGTTTTGCTAACTGTTCATTGTTATGCCATATTTCCTCAATACTTACCCCTTTCCTGCCCAATGACATGAATTAGTATGATTTTGTGACTAATGTGTCAATTTGATTTTCTCAGGTGTTCATCCTATAAATATTCGAGGTGTAATTTTGGTATTTGATTCAAATAAATCGATCATATTTCCATTTTATTGCAATAATTTTGAATCATAATGCATTGAACATTGATGTATTAATGATATCAGTGCCTGTTGTGATGACATGTATCTTACTCCTCAAATGATTTTGGGCAGGAAAGGGTTAAATGTAGTATAACATGGTCTAGGGCTGTTAGTAAAATGTATGAGGACATTCAGAGTATATTTAATAACACATTCTGCTCATAATTAGCATTTTATATAGAAAAACTTTTGTCTGCATACTTTTACAGAGAAACCTGATTTTGGTCATTTTGGCAATCTTAGGTAAGTTTGACGTCACTAACTTGTAAAAAGTCACATCAGTGTTTAGGTATATGCTATGTTCTATATGCGATGTTTTGAGTAAAAAGTAATCAATTGTCTCCAAATTTTCACAGAAGGTGTATTATATGCCTTAAATTATGTGTGAAAAGTTTCATTAAGTTTACTTGCCATTCACAAAAGTTACTTAAGGGTTTTCTCAATAGGAAAAGACTTTTGATACAGAGGGTACATGTATTGAAAGGTTGTCAATGTGACAACTGAACTCTGCAGATTGAAATTGATACTTTGCCAACTTGACCCTTACAAAAGATTTCTTTGAAAATACGTTCTTTCAGTGATTGCATGTCTTTGAGATGATCACATAAAGTATTGTGCAATGTGTGAAAAGATTTTAAGCCAAGGATATGATGCATTGTGGCTGATTCATTCCACTCGGCCGTTATTTCATAAACAACACCTTTATGAGATTCAGGCCACATTGCACTGAGTCCAGAGCTTAACCTAAACCATGCCTGTTTGTTAATAGGACTGCTTCAAAAGTTGACCAATCTGGTGATTATAATCTAAATGGGGATATTCAACATGAACGACTAATGCTACAGGATAATACCATGTACCATAGTAACTACAGCTATATAACATTATCAGATTCGCTATTGTTTGAATCATGGGGTGAAGACAGATGTACAAAAATAAACAGTGTCACTGGTTTTGCTACACCAGAGACTGAAGATTTTACTGCTAGCTCCAAGACACTTGAGGTAAGAGGCATTTAATACAATATAATCTTGTATTTGCGAATGCAACTAACCCATGTCTGCTACTGGATTATCTTATGCCTTGGTCACATTTGCTCAAATTTTCTCTACGGCGCCTGTATGAGTATATTGTTCAAAATTGAATGCAATGTTGAACAAAACACTCAATCGGGCGGGTACCGGCCGATGGATCGGAGCAAATGTGACCAAGGCATTATTATTTTATCACTAACTCATGTAAATATGAATGGAATAGTGGCAGGTACTATTCATATCTAAATGAGTTACCCATAAAATAGTAGGTTAATCCGGTAGATGACAGGCGTTAGTTGCAATTGCTTAGATATGCCACTATGGGACAAGGTTGTGTCACATGTAGACCTCAGGCATATATTCAATGAATATATGCCTGAGGTCTGACGTCAATACATAACACACGATGCCCATGTCAATCTGCGCGCCTACTAGGCTTGAAACTGCGCGCATATTTCAAAATGGAAGACGGGGAGGACACGACTCCTAAAAAGAGACAAAATACGAAAAACACAAGGTTAGTCTCGTGAAAATCCCACCACTGCCACCATGTTTCAAGATGAGAGTTTATTTAAGTAAAAGACAATGCTTGAGATATATAAAGAGTATAGCTTTATTGATCCAACATAGGGAAATGAAGCATCAGATTCAAAACTACATAGATATATTTTACATAGACTGGTCCATTATGATATATAGAGGTGATAGGTTCTTAAAGCTCATATTGCAACACCTACATTCTTCATTTCTTCTGGGTAGAAACTAGACTAATGTATGACAAAATGACACCATAATGGGTACTGCAGCTTAGGTATTAATCATGCCATGGACGATAGAAGAAAAGACTTATATTGTTCGAAAGTATATCGAGACAAAATCCTATAAAGAGACACAAACTGCCTATTGGAGAGATCACAGGGCAAGAAGAGCCCCTTGCAAGTTGCAGATCTTTAGGCTTGTACAGAAGTTTGATTCAGAAAGAACTGTAAAACCAACAAAGAAGAAAAGTGATGGTAAACCAACCTATTCGGGGAGACAGAGGTCTGTCGGAACTCAAGACAACTCAACAGTCAACACAGAACGTTGCATCCCTAACGTTCGAAAGTTTTGGAGAGCGCTGGGTAGACAACGTGACTTGAGAAGGGACCAGCAATGGTTCCAACAAGATGTTGTCACACACCACACTTCTAATGAGTCCATTCGATGGCTTCAGGCTTACTTTGGTGATCGATTAATCAGTCGCCGTACCCGCCACATCTGGGCCCCCGACTCCCCTGATTTGAACTCCCCAGATTTTTATCTGTGGGGGTATCTCAAGGATAATGTGTATACAGATAGTCCACTGACCATTGGTGACCTCAAATTCAACATTGGAAGACTAATTAGAGAGATAGACAGAGATGAATGCAGTTGGGTCATTGACAATTTTGCAAGAAGAATCCAACCCTGCATCCAACGTCGTGGTGCACATTTGGAGCACATTATCTAAACGTGCCCTATTTAGAGACTAATTGAGCAAAAATGCCCAAACTTTGACATCTTGTCATACATTCAGTTGACTATACATGTACCAAATAACTAAGCTCAATATGCACGAAGTTACCAGTTTTTGTCACCCTGTTATATGTAGAAATGTGTGAAAAAGACCTGTTTTTGATTGGACGAGTTGCAGCCTTCAAGCAATGGCACTATCACTCCAGCCAATGCGCAGGGTGGTCAGAAAACAGAAGGCAAACCTGCACAAGTTGTTAATGTCCCGACTGCATTCCTCAGCAGGTATGGCCTGAACGACATGGATAATTCCCCTTTTTAGGTCTGCAAATACCCTGGGGTCATTCTTGTAAACTATACACTCTATATTCGGGGTATCTCCACAAGTAGAAGGCAGGTATCGACATTTTCGACAAAGTGTGCATGCTTGCCTAAAGCGCAATAGTGGCCACTCAATCATGTTGTTTAAGTGCTATAGCCACAGTTGTAACAGGCTGATGGTCAGATATGGAAGATAGCGTCAATGTTTTCATTTTAATGACCCCTTATAATACCCTTTTTATATAACCAAATGTGACTGGGTATATTTGAAAGGTCGTTTTGAGCACAATCGTCAAACAAAGAAGATGTGACTCTACCGTGTACACAGATGGGGGCATTTTCAACATGATGGTGATTTCGATTTCTTCTTTTTCATTTCCCATTTACTTGTCACTTTAAATGCTGACTGATTAGTCCAATGTGTACAATACCAAATTCCTTACAACCCTCAAATCGGGGGCAACATTCATGGGACACAGGATGGCAATGCTAACATCATCACAGAACGGAATATACGTAAAACGCTATTCAATTCGGTTCACGACCCCTTCCTTCCAACTCTAGACTGACGTTAAAAACCGAATTGTTGAAAACAAATTTAACAAGTACAGGGCAATGAATGAGTCAGTTGAGTATTCGGGTGAGTATTTAAGTTGTACTCGACGTAATACTCAGCTGAATTATATTTAGAATATGGTGCTTTTTCCAGAACTCCGTCCACATTATTGAAAAGGGACTAAAAAACATCGGGCTTGTTAACAAGTTACCCTATGGCTACTTCAGATGGCAGACACATAACCCAAACTGCCTATTTTGCCACACAAAGGTAAACAACATGTATTGTTTGCACCTCATTTGAAATACACAATTCTAATTGGTTAATTAAAGATGAACAATATGTACCGTTGACTTGTTCAAATGTGAAAAATGAAAAAGAATTGAATAAAAAGTTTTGAAATTATATGAAACTAAGGAAAATAATGAAATCGCTTTGCAAAAAGGAGTGATATTCGATGGTTTGGGGATTTTTTGCTAAAATATGATATCTTGATTCTTTTATATCAAATATACACTCACGTGATATTCGATATAATCGCTGGTCTCATTTTTTCTCAAGTATTAAGAATCACACAAAAACCATGTATAAACCAAAATATGGTTAGTTTCTATGATTAAAATAAATTGAGACAGAACTGGACAAGGTGTGTCTAATTTCAGCCAATCCGAACACAGTCTTTTAGGTGATATGGTAAAAATATTTTGCAATGTGTGAAAAGAATTTAAGCCCACGACTCAATGCATTGTGTAATTACCATTCCACATTGCACTGAGTCAAGGGCTTAAATCCTTAAACAATGTTGGCACAATTTTATTGTTAACATAAAGACGATTATCAATATGGCTACAAATAACAATGATATTTTGGCGAGATGTGATATCAGCCCGAAGGCCGTAGGTCCCGAAGGTAGATATATTGTATTGGCCAAGGGATAATTCATACGTCCTGAACCGACTATAGGATGATCTGTTTATCCCATACTTATCTTGGTCATCTCACAGTTCAGAAAGTTCAACCAACAGTGCAAATGTTTTATAGAATATTCATGTCCAGTTTTGTTTTCTTGGCAATGGCCGGGTTTTCCTGCTCTTTCAGATGTTCATCCACATTTATTTTCTCAAATTTTTTATTATTATTAACAGGAAGCTCCTTCCCTTCTTTAAACCATCAAACAGATAGCGATTGTCTGCGTTTTTCTCCATTGTCGTTTACAGTTATCATGCGAACGTTACAAAAATCTGCTGTGTTTCGTAGGTGGCAGGAAAGAATGGCATGACGTTGGTGCAATCCTTAGTATTTCGCTATAACGGCTGTCTTCATCGAACGCCCTCTGATAAAGATATAAGGGGACTTGAAAACTTCGAAATGCTGGTACGCAGAACATAACAAAACGATTGCATTCAATTTTAGAAGATCGTGTGCTCGTTCTAATTTTAAGAGAAAATATTATTTGAAAATCAGTCAATAAAAGTTTACCTCGAAAGTACTGAATTTTTGCCATCACTAGATGAGCGAAGTCACGGGAAAAGGGTCTTATCACAGATTATTTCAATATTCTGATTTTTGTTAATCTTAAATAGGACAAAATGACATTTCAAAAGGCTCGTGTCTTAACAATTTTCTCTTGCATATATCAACCAAAAAGTCGGATTTCAATTTAGCATATTTTCCTCTTAATCTTGAGCACATTTTTGGCTCTGAAGCACACTTAATTTTTGTGATAAGACCGCTTTTTCTATGGTCAGGTTTGAATATTCTTTAGAGAGACATTACCCATTTTGTGTGGCTTTTGAGATAACCCAGTATTGCTTGCAAAAACAAGCTTAAGGTAGAGTAAATGCATTTAAACTATTTCCATCTTCAGTTTACAGATGGAATGCTAATAAACGCGACCCGCATTGCAACCCACTGGGCCAAGTACGACGTTAACACTCCTCATGTGCCTGACCTCATCCGTGAAGTCTTCAAGAATGAACTCAGTGAATTCATAGCAACCCGTAATAAGCACAAACTGGACGTTGGAAATATATTCATGAATGATCATCTCAGAGATATATTTAGGAATGAGAAGCTAATAACTGGAAATGGTGTGTCAACCATCCATGTATTCAACATGTTTACATGTTTAACAGTTGTATTAGGATGCCTCTTGTTCTGATAAGACCTTGGTGCCCTTATAAGGCGCATTTCCGCATTTTTGCAAGTTTGTCCCATGCTCTGTGTGATTTTTGGATAACTTCGATGCAATTTATTTTGGGGGATTTTTAAGCAATTTTTACATGTTAACGTATTAATTAAACCCACTAACCCGCCATCTTTTGACAGTCTTTAAGGCCATTGCGATCTGCATTACGAATTTATGTATAGATATTATTTTCTTATAATGCATTTTAAATTATTACTTTAACATATACCGTTATAAACTGGATGTAAGGGGTCGGGGAAAATATCACTGACCCAGAGCCCAATGCAATGACTATTGTTATTGTTTTGAAATAATAAAGTAAGGTTCTTCAATGAGAGATATAACCTTATTTGTTTTCTATAATTATACCTGACTATAAATTCACAATCACCAGTCCAAAAGATTCGAACCAAAGTCTTGATCACTTCTTATGTGTTTTGGATTTCTTGTTTTGAAATAAAACCTAATTTCACGATTCAAATTCTGAAGTAAACAAAATGACGGCTGTTTGAATTCGAATTTGTATTCACGATATATATCCATATACAGTATGGCAGAATCGAGATGGAAGCCTGGGATCCAATCCTCCTTGCTAAAGAGAGATAAATTAATAACTCCCCATTGCTCCCCATTACTCCCCATTGATCCCCATTGCTGCTGCCCAAAACATATGCACGTATGTTTCATTTGCATCTTGACATCGTGCCCATCCAACCAGACTTATATGGAATAAGAGCATACCAGCATGCATTGTATTACGAAATGTAATAGATTATTGCAATAAAAATGGTAACCTCACCCTTCATAGGAAATGGAAATGTTGTTAAATTCCCGGGTAAAGTCACAACAAGTTCGAAGGGCGACGCTAAATGGTATGCTCTGGGAAATTGTAAGGACAACTAACGTAAATATCTCCAAACAATTTCAGTGGCAGACTTTTGATCTATGGCCACAAATAAATACTGAAGGACTCTTGCATCTTACATACATGGGACATATTCCTTTAGACAAATCACATTTCCAAAATATATGCAGTTTCAGAAATGTCAATAAATATGTAATTGCCAGTCATTTCAAAACAATCAAGCTATAAGCGTAGCCTTTTTGACGATAGATGGCATTTCTAGCTACACCATAGAGAACTACACGGTTACGAACGCTCTAAGTGATGAATGATGAATACCCTAAGATGATTCATCCTAGTGAATACCCAACTGTGCTACGTCTTAACACATTTTTTAGATTGGACCATTTATAGAATGCATAAAAGTGTAGCATTTCGTATGAACACGTGGCATTGGATCAAATGTTCTAAAATGGTGAAATCATTTATTTAGAGATACGGACGGCGCTGACCTGCTCAGTTTGTGTACGAAAAAAGTAATGACAACTTTTCAAAGATTAAACAAAGGACATTTGATCGCTAAGGCCCAACGCCTTTTTTCAACCATAAATATTGTAAAAACGCCAACAGGCCCGTAGCCATGGGGGGGGAGTGGTTGAACCCCTTCCACCCTGGTTAAAAATTCTTTCAAAATCATACAGATATTCACCATTCTAAGCACTTTTTTTAGTGATTTTGACCATTTTTGGACCAAACTTATGAAAAGTGAACCCCCCGGGGAATTTTTCACAAAGTGAACCCCCCCCCCATTGGCAAATTCTGGCTACGGGTCTGGCCAATCTGTATATAAACGGTAAAATTGGCTCATGATGTCTTGTTAAGAGCGAGCCACAATTAGATTTAAAATAAAATAAAAAACAACAAAAAATAAATAGTACCGTGGGTACTGGGCTCACATGGTGTTGCTCAAAAGTGAATAATGGCTAAAAATGTAAAATGACAGAAAATAAAAAACGGATGTAATCTTTTGCCGATTTTTTATAACAAAATTATTTCATACAACTACTCTTTACAAAGACATGGCTTTTTTACAATGCAGGACACCTGAAATTATTTGTAAAGCTAGGAAATGGGCCAAAAGTGAATTTCGCGAGACAAAAATGGCGGCCATTTTGAAAATAGGCGAGCTTTTGAACAACGAGTCATAGGGGAGTTTTCTGTATTGATGTTGAACAGAAATAACTTAAAACAGGAATCCTATGGACAGAGGTTTTTAAACGTGCCACTATTGTTGACGGACGGATGGACAGACAAACAGACAAGTGAGTGATTACAAAAGCTCACCATGTGAGCTAACAAGTATGTGTTGTCCATCCTGTATTCGTCAGATCATATGGTAAATAGTGTTAGTATTATGCTCAAATCTTGGATTCTCATTTATTTGAAGAATAGGCTCATTCATATCGCATCTTTTAACATAAAAACGTCAAATGTCATCAAAATATATTTATTTATTTTTCAATAATCTGGAAGGAAAAGCTGCTTATTTGTACTTATGATATACACAATCCCATTCAAAACATAATTTTTATCATATTTTATCATATTATATTAGTATGAAACGTCTGTATTCATTTTTGGCAAATGAAAACAAGAACTACTGTTATTTAGTGATAAACACACTACATGCAAATAATGGTTTTCTACATATTCAAGCAGTCCTTTTAAATGTTTAGAATAGAAGGGGTGGGAGAGTTCAGCACCTCTAAGATAGGTAGAAATTGAAGGTAGTACTAGTGCAAGCCTCTGATGCTGGTAGCAAATGGTGGTGGATAGGGGTCTCAATGCTTTTCATGAAGGTAGAGATTGGGGGAGGGGGTACATTTTCAAGACTTCTAACACAGGTAGAAAATAGGGGTGTGATTACAAAGGTAACTGGTCAACTCAACCCCAAGTCAACTCAACCCAAGTCAACTCAACCCTTAGTCAAGTCGACCCCAAGTCAAGTCGACCCTTAGTCAAGTCGACCCTAAGTCATCTCGACCCTTAGTCAACTCGACCCCAAGTCATCTCAACCCTTGGTCAACTCAACCCTTAGTCAAGTCGACCCAAATGATTTTACTTGTTTTAAGTAGATTAAAATACAATATAATCCAATTGTTTGTGCAGTTTGATTTGAAATCAAACTTCAAAGAAAAAAACATTTCTGTCACCTTTCTGTCATAGATCAAAACGAAGATTTAAACTGGATCATAAAATCCCAATCTGATTGTTTATGACACCTGACATATGAGTAAGATAATGGAAAATAGAAAAACATAAATCCCATTGTTTGTTCAGTCTTGTTTTAAAATCTTACATCAAAAAAATAAACATTTCTATCGCCTGTAGATCAGAAGGAAGATTTGAACCGGATCATATTGTTTATTATTATTATCAAAATATAAAATCATTCAATACAAAGTAATGGATGGATGTTGGCACAATGCACATGTTGCATAAGTTACCTGTTGTCGAAAATACTGTTGCAACAATTTCGGTATAACAGAAAAGTGTATAGATAATTTTTTTATTTCAGAGAGATTAAACAAGCTCAAATATTAAGGGGTGAAATATATGTATAGCATCGTGAATAGTCCTATTAAGATTAATCAAATATTATTTTGTTATTTATAAAAATTATAAATGTGTTAAGCACAAACTTCAATAGTTGATAATTTTATTTTGGAAAATTAGCATTTTAGTCCCTCATTCTTTCAAAATTCATCAATATCATACCATGAAAATAGTATATCTATTTGTTTTTTATGATGGGGTCGAGTTGACTAAGGGTTGAGATGACCAAGGGTTGAGATGACTTGGGGTCGAGTTGACTAAGGGTCGAGATGACTTAGAGTCGACTTGACTAAGGGTCGACTTGACTTGGGGTCGACTTGACTAAGGGTTGAGTTGACTTGGGTTGAGTTGACTTGGGGTTGAGTTGACCAGGAAGCATTACAAAGGCTTCATGTGTTAAGGACTCTCGTTATTTTAACTACAAAAATTTTGTAGTCATGAACTTTAGTCACAATGTGTTTTGGAAACAATTTTTCAAAATAGACCTGAATGATAAATTACATTCACCATCAATACATCAATAAATAAATACTAAAATAATATAAAATTAAAGTATGTATACTGTTACAATTGTAATACTTTAAACATATTACACAATACTGTATACATCAATTAAATATACAAAAGAATCCAATTCTTTGAATCATGATTTCTACTTTCTGTATCTGTAAACATGCAGGTAAACATTTAATTTTCTTTTTTAATAAACATTTAATTTTTTGAAAATCTGGTTTGATTGCAAAAATCAAGATTTAATAACACATTAACAATATCATTGTTACAGGTACCTTACTTTTAAATTATTGTAGGAAAGATAAACAAACTTTAGTTTATAAACATGACTTGAAATTATTATTGCTGTACTAATGCATTTTATTTGCTACTAAAATCCTATTAGGTTTCTGGAGGGCAATATTGCATGTTGCTTAATAAGTAAGGACAATCTATATATTTGCGTATTTTTGTAACTTCTGTCCAATTTCTAAAATTCAATTGTTTATTCAGCACCTGGTTTATGTAGCAACTTGTAATACTTATGAAAAGTGGTTGCCATGGAAATACAATTATGGATATTTGCGTAGCTAATGTTTCTATTTGCACTTAAACAATGACTACTAAGTGAAAAAGAAAGAAACAAGACATGGGCTTTTATGAAGCAAAATACAATCCTGGTGATGTAAGCTTCTATCTATGATTATAGAGAAAGAAATCTGAACAAACACAAACTCATAGCCCAGGAGGGAGGTTCGATGGGTTCGAACGAAACCCCCCTTGCCTAAAAATTCTTTCAAAACCATACAGTTTTTCACCATTCTGAGCACTTTTACAGTGATTTTCGCCATTGTTGTCAAAAGTGAACCCCCTGGAATTTTTCAAAATGTGAACCCCCTTGGCGAATCCTGGCTACGGGCCTGAACATGTATGCCTTAATCACTTCATATCTCTGTTGAAAAAACTTGAAAATACAGAAAATTGTTATTTGGATCATCCCAATAAGTAGAACACTTTTCAGTGTCCTGTAACCTCTGGCCTAATGTTAAATGAACCTATTAATAAGTGAAACATATCCGAAGTGGAACACTTTTCGATGTTGACACTTCCCAAAGGTATCTTGGGTGAACCACCTGCACAAGTTTTGCTGTACCTTAGGTTTATAAACTAACAAATAAAGCTGATATACAATTAAACCTAATCCTAACAACTCTGGAACTGGTATAAAGTGTTCAGATTAGTAGGTGTTCATATTTCAAGGTTTTATAAACATATAAGTTGATGAGAGAAAATAAATTTGAGACCAATAAAAAGTATACAGATAACAGAGGTGTTTGGATATACAGGCTTCACTGTACGATGGTGCACATAATCTTATAATACTGCAATATCAAACAGTCTAAAAATCTATAATACATAAAATGAGCAAAGTTATCACATATATATAAACAATAGGCATTAACATGCAAAATGTCACTACCATTTGTTATAGACTCTATTTGTTCATGTTGTTACAGACGCTGAATGCCGAACACCAATAGCCGTTCACAAAAAAGTTGGAGACTAAAACAATATGTCAACACTTGTGGCGGTGACATGAGAAGAATATGTTTAGTAGTTGAACAGTATGTAAGTAGTACATATCAATTAAACAGATCAGTCAATCCATGATAAAATGTAAGTAAATATACCCTAAAAAGCTGTATAATGTAAAACATTGTGTATAAAGTAGTTAGAATTATGACATATTCACATGTAAATGAAATGGAAATCTTCAGTACATAACATTTGGTAAAAACTAAATTTCAAAGTAATCAAAAACTCCCACAACGTGTACTGCATTTCAAAATTTAATTGTACATTTATAGAGAACATAAATTGTTTATACATGTAAAAACATGTTTTGATTCAGCATTTGTGTTTTCAGATTGTCCAATACATGTACGTAGCAGAATTGCTTGTCTAAAATCCTCACATTTGTAATTGTGGGTATTGACCTCAACCTGTTCACAAGTTTAACACTTATGACCAATACGAACTTAATAATGAAAACCCCTTACTTATGGAAAAAACATATCAATTGAAAAGCTGATATAATGCATCAACCAAAGTCGCTAGTATTGCTGTAAAAGCATCTACATAGTAAGCTAAACTAAAATCACAAATACCAAAGAGACATCTTCTTGAGAACATACTTGCATATAAATATGTGCAAATATCTAATGCAAGAATTCAACTGAATATCGTCTGCTTCCACTCTAGCTGCTCTGTCTCAAAGCTCAAGTGAGTCTCTTGTTGAACATTCATGAAATCTTCCACAGCTTTAGTGCACTTCTAAGCTTTAGTGTACTTCTAAGCTTTAGTGTACTTCTAAGCTTTAGTGCACTTATAAGCTTTAGTGTAAGCTTGTGCCTCTAAACTTGTGCCTCTAAACTTGTGCAACATTCATCAGCCTGAGTGTGTCTTATATATCTATGCAATTGTGCACATTTGCATCAGCAGCATCTCCTCGAGTGCATGCGTATCTATAGCAACATCACAAAATGTTAATGTATCCGGCAATTCAGGGATGGAACTCCCAGAGCTGGAAAGTAGCTCAGAACTATCAGTGGCTATCTGCAAATGTTTCTGTGACGCATAGTCTGTGACATCATCAGAATCTGTGACCTCACAGGGTTCTGCGTCACCGCCACCTAGCTGCTTGCTGTGTAGAGGGTGCTTCTGCTGTAGTGCAGGAGGGGGTGGCGGTGCTGCGGGAATACCCTGCAATATATAAGTTGTAATTGTTGAAATCATCAATTAACTGAGTCTCAAATTGTTATTCAATCTAAATCTATCTATATAATCACAAAGTAAATACGTTGTCATCTGAGTTAACTGAGCCTCTTATTAATAATTTAAGAAAAATGAATACATGTACTTTAATTTGAAATCATGTTTCATTTTTCTATTTCATCAGAAAATAAACACAAGATTTGTGTGCCGCAAGACCAACTATAGATAGTATGCATCCACAAAAGCCCTGTGGCACAAGACAAGGACAATATGGCACTTTTCTAAAGTGCAGAAAAAACACTGAAGATTGTTTTTATTCCTTTGAAACCTGGTAATACTAACTCGGAGAAAATAAAACTTCCCATCTCAATAATTAGTTGTCAAGGAATCAAATGTTAGTGGACTAGCCTACATACCTGACGCTTATTATCTTGAACATATGTTTGATGAGGGGGGCCATCCACAGAGTGAAGATCCTGCAAAACAAAACCTTATCATTATCAACAAGATTTTTGTTACATCATTATTTTGAAATAAAGTGAAATTAAATTAAAAACAATATTATATTAAAAGCATTTAATTTGACTGTTTATATTTATTTACATTTATATATTAATTTAAAATAATTTATAAACATACATTTTTTGAAGTTTTAATTGACACATGAAATCTTATTATTGTCAATAATTAATATAGATAAATAGATGGTACACGTTTGTTCCAACTGGTTCTAACGTCTTGAAAACGTCTTGAAATATTTTGTCTAAATTACAGAGCTTTTGTGTTGCTGAAACTTGGAATGTCAGGCATTTATTTATAATTCCCATGCATAACGATTGTTTCTGTGACATTGTCAGACAACAAGAAGAAGTTCTAACTGGTTCTAACAATTACAAGTATGCATTATCCAAAACGTCTTGAAATATTTTGTCTAATTTATTTTATCCAATTTAGCTTTTGTGTTGCTGAAATTTGGTATGTCAGGCATTCATTTATAATTCCCATACAAAGACATCAATATTATGCATAACAATTGCTCCTGTGACATTGTCAGACTATGAGAAGAAGCACAATGTGTTTTCAACACTTACCACATCAACATCAGGGAATAACTTCTTCCTTACTTCCTCCAAAGTCTTCAACTTCGCTACAATAAAAAAACAAAGTACAATGAAAATGACTTGGTCAACTTTCACAAATTCATAAATGTATGTATTCTTTGTTTAAATGGCAGTATTAAATATAAAAGCACACAAGTACGCAAAGTAAACATTTCCAAAATTCATGTTTCCAGTTTCAAAATCCTTAATCTTCATGTTTAGATGGCAGTTCACCAATTTTCTCTAAAGGGTTGTTATTCATATCTGTCCCATTGGTTTACGTGTAACTGCTATATGCTATTTCAATATCATGAGGTTTCGGATACCATTTTCATTGAAATCTAATTTAGAGATTTTTGGAGCAATTTTTACATGTTAAGGTATGCAATTCAACCCACTGAATTCTTCGCTAGTTAGGGATTTATTGACAGCCCTTATAAGGCAATTAAAGTGCCTTACTTGGTGTGTTTGGTAGTTTAGACTTGATCAGCTTCTCAAAGTCCAGCCTGGAGGCGAGAGTAATCCCACCTTCTATTATTGTATAGACAATCTGCTTGATATCATTCTGCTGATCTAAACTGAAATCTTGTGTGTACTGAAAAACAGCAATGGTTATTTTCATAAACATTTAAAAGTCGTAATAATGTTTCAGCAAAGGCCCTGTACCTTATGTAGTATCTACATTCTATATGCACATGTATTTTATCAGAAATAAATTAATACATTTAAACCAAATAAATAAAGATTTTTTTGCTAAATTATGGATTTGAAGGCTATAAATAGAGAAAGTGAAGTGTAACTGAGTTTCTGACGAAATTCATATACCTCGTTGAGAACTTCCTCTACATTTTCTTTACTCATTTCCATAATGTTGCCGAACATGTATCCAGTGACTAGAGCAATGTAGATGCGTATAGCGTTCCTCATGTCATCTCTGAAGGCTTGTAGACTTATAGGGTCATCAGGGTCAGTAGACGTGGCACTCCCAAAGTCAATGATCTTAACAGGCAGACCCTCCTTGTTCTGTAGTAATACATTACCGGCTGAAAAATAATGGGAAACTACAGTTTGTAGCCCAGGATAATGCAGGCTGGCGATACTCAAGACTAAAAGAATTGAGGGTGAAACTATTGAAGAAATTGTTGATGGATATATGTTTTAAATATACCCTATTATTTTAGAAAAGATAAAGACTATTGCATGTAAGATCATTAATGTGCTCCTGATCATGACTTACTGGGTCATTGATGTCTATGATTATTCCCGATAAGGTTATAGATATGTTAACAAATATTCCTTATCTTAGGTCATTAATATGCTTATAATCATTGAGATGTAAATGATTATTCCTGATAAGGTCATTGATATGTAAATGATTATTCCTAATAAGGTCATTGATATGTTAATGATTATTCCATAAGGCCATAATATGTAAACAAAAGACCTTATAAGGTCATTGATATGTTTATGATTATTCCTTATAATGATATAATTGCACTCAATCTACGTACATACCATGCATGTCCTTATGCTGCCATCCCTTAGATTGCATCTGATTAATTGCACTTGTTAACTCATGGATTACGTAGATACTAAAAAATGATTTTAAATTCTTGTCTTGAATGTAACCAACATTTTCACAGTCTATCACATCCTGCATGGTAGTTCCTAGAAAAACAATGTTTAAGGATATTACATGTATTGTATATTGCAGAGTTTTAGAACATGTTATATTTACATATTGTATATTGCAATGTTTTAGAACATATCATATTCACATATTGCAAAAAGTTCAAGAACATGTTATGTTCACATATTGTATATTGCAATGTTTTAGAACATATCATATTCACATATTGCAAAAAGTTCAAGAACATGTTATGTTCACATATTGAATATTGCAATATTTCAAAATGATTATTTTCACATATTGTATATTGCAATGTTTTAGAACATAGATTCACATATTGTATATTGCAATGTTTTAGAACATAGATTCACATATTGTATATTGCAATGTTTTAGAACATATTATATTCACATATTGCAAAAAATTCAAGAACATGTTATGTTCACATATTGTGTATTGCCATGTTTAAGAACATAGATTCACATATTGTGTATTGCCATGTTTAAGAACATAGATTCATATATTGTATATTGCAATGTTTAAGAACATAGATTCACATATTGTATATCGCAATGTTTAAGAACATATCATATTCACATATTGTACATGTATATTGCAAAAAGTTCAAGGACATGTTATGTTCACATATTGAATATTGCAATATTTCAAAATAATTATATTCACATATTGTATATTGCAATGTTTTAGAACATAGATTCACTTATTGTATATTGCAATGTTTTAGAACATAGATGCACATATTGCATATTGCAATGTTTAAGAACATATCATATTCACATATTGTATATTGCAAAAAGTTCAAGAACATGTTATGTTCACATATTGAATATTGCAATATTTCAAAATGGTTATATTCACATATTGTATATTGCAATGTTTTAGAACATAGATTCACATATTGTATATTGCAATGTTTTAGAACATAGATTCACATATTGTATATTGCAACGTTTTAGAACATATCATATTCACATATTGTACACTGTGTTTTACAACATGTTAAAATTGAATACTGTTCAGAACATGATATGTTCACATATCAGTGATCTCACCAGCATTAAAGCAAGTGGGCGCAGCACCCACCTGAGATTTTGAAAATAGGCTTGCACCCACCTCAAAATCCATTTGCACTCATTTGAAAATAAGAAAAATCATGAAAAATTGGCAAATTTTGGCCTGAATTGTGAAAATGAGAATTTTGCACCCACCTGAGAAAAAATCCTGGGGAGATCACTGCATATTGTACATTGCAATATTTCAGAAAAAGCAAAAATGAGTGAGTAGATGGGAAGGGTTCAATACCTTTGTCTACATGTTCCATTTGCATCTTGACATCATGCCCATCAAGCCAGACTTTATACAGAGTAGGTGTGTACCCAGAATCCTCTAAGTCCAGCATGCATTGCACTTCATTTTTATTGAAACTAGCGAAGAATACCTGGAAGGTTACCACATATTTTTAACTTCATATGCCCTTGAATTAATTGACTTTAATTGACCATTCTTATGGCGTGTTTATACATGTTTTTTGAGTAAGTATATGATATATCCATGGGTGAGTGTGCCAAATGAGTGAATATATATCATACACTCACAATAATATAAAAAACCACAATATACAGAATTGACAATTATATTAACTTATTGCTAATATTAAAGACCAGATAAAAAATATTTTCATCAAATAATTACTTGATCTCAGAGTTTTATCTTTCAAGATAAGATTTTCACATGTTATCAACTCATGCATCTAATGGACAAACAAGTGGTACGAGACTAGAACCAGTTTACTTAAAAATATCAGGGAATTCATTTCCAACAGATAGAATTATTGAAGAATAGAACTAGAATTCCATTAATTTATCTTCATTTCTTAAACAAAAGTATTACTGATTTTTCTGCTGCTGTTTGTCCACCCTTTTCTTTAAGTACAACTTTTCCAAGCATTCCTTCTCCAAGTATCTTTGTAAACTCTTCTTTCTGTACGTCATCATCTATGGCCTGAAGTTACACAGAGGAGAAGGCTAAACTACAAATTTTTAATCTGTCCTAAAGTTACAAAGAGGGAAAATATGAAAAGTGAATAAGGAGGTTAAACTACAATTTTTTAATCTATGACCTGAAGTTACACAGAGGGAAGCCTGAAAAGTCATCTAAGAGGTTAAACTAAAAAATTTTAATCTGTGAACTGAAGTTACACAGAGGGAAAATGTGGAAAGTAAATAAGGAAGCTCCCTCTCCAAGTATCTTTGTAAACTCCTCTTTCTGTACGTCATCATCTATGGCCTGAAGTTAAAAAGAGGGAAAATGTTAAAAGTGAATAAGGAGGTTAAACTACAATTTTTTAATCTATGGCCTGAAGTTACACAGAGGGCAGCCTGAAAAGCCATTTAAGAGGTTAAACTAAAAATTTTAATCTGTGAACTGAAGTTACACAGAGGGAAAACCACGGGGTACCATCGAATAATTTTGGCAACGTACCGGAGAACGACATTTTACTAAGAAATGGCAATAATTTAGCACAATATATTTTTTAACTAGAGTTCTATTTTGATTTTGACAAAAGTAAGTATTCCATGCAATGACTATTTCATTCATGAGTTTGTAGGAATTCTGTTGGAACCCAGTTCTGATCAAGTACGAAGTTATTGAAATCTGCGCAGACGGACTTTACTCCGAAAGATGGTTTTTCGATTATAACTTTTCACAACATTTAAGTATAGACTTTTGAAAAAAGTACAGAATAGTCCTTATACTTTTGAATAATTCTGTTATTTCTGATTCACACGACTCTGATTTGTTTAATTAAAAAAAAAATTTAAAAATATTACTTAGGAACGTAACCGGAGCTGGGAACGTAACCGGAGCAGATCAGTTGAATTATTTAATCAAAAAAATTAAAATATATGATTTAAAGCACATATACTAATTTAAAAACATACGGGATTGTTCGAATGCGTATTTATTACATTTTATTTAAAGAAAAAAATTTATCCATTGTGAAAAATTAAATTTGGTATTTACCATGCATAAGTGCACTTACCTTAGAAAGGCTATCAAACATAGAACAATCATTGTATGGAGAATGAAGTGATTAAATGTAGTAAGCAAATAATTCCATTTGATTTCACCCATTGTATTTGTTCAGCGAACTATTAGAACCCACTCTGTTATACTAATTTCGTATATATATACTGTTTATACATACATGTATTATACTACTAGGACAACTTCTCTTTTTCAGGGGAAATAAAAACATTTAAATGCTAGATTATTAAAAAAGTTAGGATACAACGAACTGTATATAGCGTAGGTGTGTTAAGTACTTGTCATGTGCTCGACCAAATCGAATCAACATATGCTTTCTGAAATTCTTCACCTAACCCCCCCCCCCTCCATATAAACGTAAGATGTTTAAGTGAGTGCCCGTTTATTGTTTTATGCAAAACCAGTTGTTATCCATCTTTGTTTCGATAAACCCAGGCGTGGGTCATTAAGCAAGTAAGAAAGTGAATGATTTTTTCTAGTTAAACTACAGAACATTGCTTTTCAGTCGTTAATAGACATCAAGTAAGCTGACATATGTGTTTGTAAATAATATATATGCTTTAAATCATATATTTCAACTGATCTGCTCCGGTTACGTTCCCAGCTCCGGTTACGTTCCTAAGTAATATTTTTAAAACTTTTTTTAAATTAAACAAATCAGAGTCGTGTGAATCAGAAATAACAGAATTATTCAATAGTATTAGGACTATCCTGTACTTTTTTCAAAAGTCTATACTTAAATGTTGTAAAAAGTTATAATCGAAAAACCATCTTTCAGAGTAAAGTCTGTCTGCGCCGATTTCAATAACTTCGTACTTGATCAGAACTGGGTTCCAACAGGATTCCTACAAACTCATGAATGAAATAGTTATTGCATGGAATACTTACTTTTGTCAAAATCAAAATAGAACTCTAGTTAAAAAATATATTGTGCTAAATTATTGCCATTTCTTAGTAAAATGTCGTTCTCCGGTACGTTGCCCAAATTATTTGATGGTACCCCGTGAAAACATGGAAAGTGAATAAGGAGGTTAAACTACATATTTTTAATCTGTGGCCTATATTTTCCAGGGACTGAACTACAACAATTTTCCTTATACCTTTCATAATCAATTGACTATTTTCTCTATAAATGGAAAAATAGATGGCAGCATGGGTTTTGGTTGGGCCAGAATACATGAAAACATATTACAAGAGTCACTTAATTTATTGACGTAATGAATAGTTCCATTTCACTCAACTTAAAACACCATTGGAATGTAACTATATGAGCTTGTTGACACATGGATTGCGATTTATCATTAAAATTGTGATCCTTATGATTATGAAAGTAAATGAACTTTTAAAGGATTTTTTTAAAGAAAATGTTGGTCTTTAATGGCTTAAAATGCAGACCCCTAAAAGCTAGACTTCAACGAGATTTCCGAAGCTTTATGGAAGACTCTATAAGACAAGTAAATATTATGAAGGGGAAAAATAAAACAAAACATGATGAATGTTTTATATAATAGCCTTTATACTTAATTGTGCAAGTAAATACTACAAAGGGGAACCAATCCCATGTTCAGGTCCAAGTTCCCTTAGCTTTATTATACAGGGTAGCCCAAAAATAGGGTTTCAGAAAGAGATTGTTGAATAACTAAACCAACTCTTGGACCACCCAGTACATAATTACAAAGTCAATCTGTCACAGTATGATTCATTGCCATGTCAACCAATATTGACTTAAGTCTGAAGATATCCATAGCATGCTGATAAGAAGTGATCACTGTATGTCAATCAAACTGGTATCTCGATCAGTTTATCAAAATAGAACACATGTTAGAAGTGTTTCAAGTCCCACAATGTATTTAAATAGTTACAACTTTGAGTCGATATAACCTCAATCTTAAGTTATAGTTCATTATTAATGAATAAATGCTATGTTAAATATGGCCTCAGTGTTCTCCCTAAGATTTTTTCTCAAGTGGGTGCAAAATTCTCATTTTCCGATTCAGTCCAAAATATGCCAGTTTTACACAATTTTTCTCATTTTCAAGTTGGTGCAAATGAAATTTCAGGTGGGTGCAAGCCTGGGAAGATCACTGGTCTTGAATCAATCAATAATATGTTGCCATGGTTATAGATATTGACTGTTCAAAGTGATATCAAGTCAACCTGAACATGTAAATGGTAACATAAAAGTATTACAGTAAAACCTGTCTAATCCAAGCACAACTGGGACCAGCAAAGTGTTCAAATTGGCAGATGCCAGCAAAGTGTTCAAATTGGCAGGTGCCAGCAAAGTGTTCAAATTGGCAGATGCCAGCAAAGTGTTCAAATTGGCAGATGCCAGCAAAGTGTTCAAATTGGCAGATGCCAGCAAAGTGTTCAAATTGGCAGATGCCAGCAGTGTTCAAATTGGCAGATGCCAGCAAAGTGTTCAAATTGGCAGATGCCAGCAGTGTTCAAATTGGCAGATGCCAGCAAAGTGTTCAAATTGGCAGATGCCAGCAAAGTGTTCAAATTGGCAGATGCCAGCAGTGTTCAAATTGGCAGATGCCAGCAAAGTGTTCAAATTGGCAGATGCCAGCAAAGTGTTCAAATTGGCAGATGTTAACATTACAAGGACCATGGAATCACATGGAAATCTATGGCAGATTAATTAAGGCCTTCACATGCAAAAAGTCACCACCTGTCATTTGTTACAGATGCCGAACATCAACTGGTGACCAATGCCACAAAATAGTTATGGACTACAGTGTGTCTCAAGAAAATGTTACAGTTGCAAAAAGTTCAACATCTTTCATGATTTTGACTTTTCCCCTAAAATATACTTAGATACCAACAGACCAGCCTTTCTCGAATATATCCACACCATCTGATTAAAAATCTGTCCATGATTGGCTGCACAGGACTGATTTTATAGATGCATGTGAAATCTGATTTGCACCAACTTCTCAGTGGTTGGATATGTGGTGATCAATTCTTTTTTGGTGTGAATGCTGTGGACAGTGATATCTTGATATGATCAATGATTTAGTTGTTTCTTTCCTGGATAGAAATGCAAAATTTCATTGTCAAAGGTTCAATTTCATTACGTATGATGGCAACAGGATGGTGCAAAGGCCTGTGGCAGATCATTTGGTAGAACTGTTTGGAAATCAGAAGATAGCATTGAATTACCCAATTGATTGGCCCCAAGGGTCATTCCACTTTACAGCCTTGATTTTTTGAAGGGCCTCTGAAAGCGCTTAACAGCATCACAAACTAACCTAAATGAACTTCAACATTTTATTCTAAAATAATTGATGGAATTAGAGTGACATTACAATGCATGTTCGCATGGGCAAGGGTACCTCAGACCCTCAGATCTTCTTTCACATTCAATATGTTGAGGGGACCACATGTTTATGTGGATAGACCTAATGACCATTTGTAAGACAAATAGTAAAATTACAGAATGACTCAGTTAAAGGTCAAGCTTCTGCTCAAATAAATTGTTCCTCTTTTGTCATTTGGTCCATCCAATCACTTAGAAGTTGGCGCAAGTCAGATTTTACTATGGGACACTAAAAGCTGTCCTGTGGAGCCAATCAAGGACAGATTTTGAATCTGATGGTGTCAAATTATTCGAGAAAGATTTGTCTTTTGGTATCCAAAGTATATTTTGGGGGAAAGTCAAAATTATGAAAGATATTGAACTTTTTGTAAGTGTAACATTTTTTTTGAGACACTCTGTATAACAATATGTAACAAGGCATAAACATGCAAAACGTAACCCAATGTTACAGATTTGTTACAGATGCCAAACTCCAAACGACAACTGCCATTCAAAGTCCACAAAAAAAGTTGGAGATTATAATTGAGTTGTGATTAAATTTGAAAACTGCCCTTTTATTGCAATCATGTGTGTTTATTGAAAAACAACAAAAAGGTGCCAAGTTGTTCACATTTTGACTTTACAGACAAGTTTTCGAATCCAAAATGTTAACTTTAAAATGAACCAATCAAATCAATTATAGAGTTCTATACCAAAATGCATCTCGCTATTGCAACTTTTTTACTAAATGACTTGCTTGAAATTGTATAGAGCTAATTTTTCATTTCCTAGGCTACATTGATTCAAAGTTCTAAATAGGATGTTTTTTTTAAATTCTTCTTCACTCCCCATACTTCCAACCCATTCCATGATAATTTCTCTTAAATTTCTTTTAAACAGGAATTAATTAGTATTGCTAAGTGAACATCCTTAGTCAGATAAACAGAGATATGTCAAAAGATAAGATTGATTTGAAATATGTCGCATATATAACTTGACTAACAATAGGGGTGGAACAAGAAAATCATCAAATTAAAATCAAATAATTAGAAAACACTTCTGTTGAAAAACACTTCAGATTCAGATTTCGAGGTTTAAAAAATAAAAAAATCTTATTTAATTAAATCACAATATTTCCCACTTGATTCACCCTGTATCTAAAACCTCCCAGTACATAACTAAATTTATCCCATAGTTGAGGCCAAATCTGTATGAGAGCATGTAAATATCTTTATGATATTTGGCAGATGCGTGAAAAATGTGATATCTGTGGAATATGGAGATACAGTAGATATCACCCTTTTTCACGCACTAAGCCAATGTGACGTATATTGTTACATGGTGATTTAATGGTGTCACATAATAAATAAATGAAAGAATGTTGTTTTGAAATGCTTGGTTCAGATTTATAGGTGAATCATTAGGATGTTTAGAACATGAATATTCATGATCTAACCTTAATTCACTTATTGATATCAATATCTGCACTCAATACACTCATTCATCCAGATATTGATATCAACTCATGGATATAAATGATACCACTCAAAATTATAGGATATCCAGGCCCGTAGCCAGGATTTGCCAAGGGGGGGGTTCAGTTTTCAAAAATTTCCAAGGGGGTAAAAATGTGACAATTTTGGCACTAATATGGCTAAAATCACTTGAGAAGTGCTAAAAATGGTGAAAAACTGCATGATTTTGAAAGAATTTTTGGCCAGGTGGGGGGGGGGGGGGGGTTCGCCCGAACCCTGCGAACCCCCCCTGGCTACGGGCCTGATATCCTATATACTTAACAATAAACACTCTCACAAGATTAACTTATTTGTAAGTGCAACTTCTTATTCAGCCAAGTTTACTAATGACCAAAATGTGTCATTGGAATGTGTCACTAGTGTGTCACATCTAGATCCTCCACATCAGAGATAATTTCATAATCAAAATAAACAAGCCAACACTACAGGTACAAATATTTATTTTTTATTGAAAGTCATTTACAGCCATTTACTATGTTTACTACTTCAACCACATGCAACATCTAGATCCTCCATGACACGTGAGAGATAATTTCATAATCATTTAAATAAACATGTCAACAGGTGCAACTTGAGTATTAAAAGAACAGTGAAAAGATCAGACACACAGAATACACTTTAGACAAGTCCACAATGCAGACAATAAAGATTGTATTAATAGTTCTGGTGCTGCTGGCCCAGCTACAGGGAACGGCAGCATTTGGACCATTCTTTAGGAGACTTCTATCACGCTTTATAACTGTGACGCCAGTTCCAGAATTAGACTTGCCAAAATATTTGGGAAGATGGTACCAGGTGAGGATAAACATTTACAGTAAAACTTGTGTATAGTGAACATTTTTTTGCCAAGAAAAAGCGTTCACTGTAGGTAGGTGTTCACTAGAGAGAGGGTAATTTATACAGAAGTCAGTGGACTATGTGCGTAGAAAGGGTGTCCACTAGAGACAGGTGTTCACTAGAGAGAGGTGTTCACTAAGACAGGTTTTACTGTACTTTCAAATAATTGTGACATCATGCATGAGTGACGTCGTTTCTATAGCAATGAGTTTGTATCTATACCAGCCAAAAGGGAAGCAAATAAGGATAGTAACCAAAATATATATTTCTGAAAGATACAAGTCAAGACCTTCCATATGGTACATGTACCAAACATGTAAAGTTGTATGGGGATTGTATAAACCTGACCTATTCTTCCCAAATTGTCAACTGTTTATAGTGCTATAATGGTCCTTTTTCTATATAGCTTTGAAATCTCATTAAAGGCTCGTTTTAAATGAGATTTAGGAGATCTGCATTTTTAACCATTAAAGACTAACATTTACTTCTATTTGATGCCATATTTGAATTCTGTGTGTTATTTTATATATTTAAACAACTTTGATTTGATTTATTTAACTTTATTCAAATTCATAAGATTTTCTACTGTTTAAAAAAAGGTTGGGCTAAATCCCATAGTCATGTGAAACCACAATCCACATGTCAATAAGATCATATTGTTACATTCCAATGGTGTTTTAAGTTTATCCAAATGGAATTACTTCTTAAATCAAGAAATTAAGTGACTCTTCAAAATAGATTACCATGTATTCTAAGCCCTACCAACACCTATGATGTCATCTATTTTTCAATTTATATGGAAAATGGTCAATTGCATCATGTTGACAATAAATGATATCAAGAGAATATATGATATTAGATTATAGAGATTATCCTATATGAGGTTCAGGATATTGGGATTATCCTGAGGCCAATATAATATATCTGCCCGAGGGCCGTAGTTCCCGAGGGTAGATATATTATATTGGCCAAGGGATAATCCCAATATCCTGAACCGACTATAGGATGATCTGTTTATCCCATACAAATCTTGGTCATCATCTGGTTCACATTGTTCAATTGGCCACAGTTCAAGCATGGAAATATCTTTATTCATGTCCAGTTTTGTTTCCTTGGTCGTGGCTGGATTTTCCTGTTCTTTCAGATATTCCCACATTTATTTTCTTTAATTTCTAATTAACTGAATGCTCCTTCCCTTCTTTAAACCATCAAACAGATCGCGAAATTGTCTGTGTTTCTCTCCATTGTCGTTTACAGTTATTATGCGAACGTTACTAAAATTAACTAATATGCGAGCTGTGATTATGACGTAGGGGGCAGATATACTATATCTGCCCACTCGGAGCGGGACGTAAAGCTATATCTGCCTTTTTACAAATCTGCTTTATGAACCTGTAACAAGTATGTCCAAGTATGGGATAAATCCCATTTATCCTACATTCTTAGGTGTTTTTTTTATAATTTTTAAAGTAAAAGTAAAACATGCGTAATTGGAACCTTTGATACATCTAGTTTTCTACTTGGAAAGTGTTATGCTTACAAAGGTTCATTTAATATTAAGTCAATTGGCTAAAGGACAAGTGTGACACTTTACATGTTATACTGTATGTATACGAAGGGGTATCAGTGATCTCCTCAGGATATTTTCTCAGGTGGCTGCAAAATACTCATCTTCACGATTCAGACCAAAATTGGTCAAAATATGGTAATTTTTCATGATTTTCTCATTTTCAAGTGGGTGCAAATGGATTTTCAGGTGGGTGCAATCCTTCTTTCAAAATCTCAGGTAAATGCTGCGCCCACTTGCTTTAGGGAGATCACTGGGTATACTTTTTCAATAGAATGAGTTCAGCAGATGATTCTACGTTTTGTATAAAATGCTCACCTCAAGATTTTACAATTTGAAACTGAGATGTTCACTCAATCCATACTCTATTAATTAAATGATTTCATGCAAATGAAAAATAAACTATTAAATAAGCTATAAAAGGCTCAGCCAATAAAAGTCAGAATAGCATTATTTCTTCTATTTCAGATGTATACAAGCCCTGTTGTTTTGAACACATTTGAAAGAGATGCTGTCTGTGTATATGCCGAATGTAAGTACTGTGTAAGCCCTATGTTACATACATGTCTTTTCTCCATCAGAAATTATCATGGGCATGAATCAGCCTGCATCATACACATACAATATAATTCAGCGGTGATTCGGCATCGCTAAAATTAGGCGCTATTCCTGCACCGTTCCGGCACCAAAACCTTTCGACACCAAAATTTGGCACTGGCCTAGTCAGTCCATTTGGTGCCGAAATGGCACCGAAACAGCGTTGAAAACCAGATTGCATTTTGGGGGTATATCTTGAGCATTTCAGGCTTTCAGTACACTTCTTTGCTTAATTAAGGATTATACATTAAAGGATTCAAATCCAGGGGTCCATGATTGAGGGTGATTTAAAGCAGGAGTTTGTTGTATGAAACTCTAAACGAGGGTAGGAGCCTGAAATTCTTGAACAAGGTAGATTTAAAGATACAAGTGCATTTATCACCCACGGTTTATTAAATGCGCTTAAAGTCTTTCAAATATAGCAAAAGATTTTGAACAATATGACTAAAGAGAATGAAACTTTTTTGCAATGTTAACATTTTGATACTTGGCTAATCATTATAACATTACAAGTTATTGAATGATTTGAAGTGCAATACAGGATATATCATGCTCAAGAAATTATGTATTGGCATGAGACAAAGTCAAGTTGAATTACAAAATATCAAGGGCACAATATATCCTGTGTTGCACTTCAAATCATTCTATAACGTTTTTATCGTGTGATCTAAGGCAATTATTCAGTTATTAGGGAGCTTATCTCCAGGAAATAATCTGTATTCTCTATATTGCTACTGAGACTGTCCTCTCCGTACCAATAATTTCTGTATTGCTACAAAGTGGGGGCAATCTCAATACAGCAATACAGAATGGTACAGCACAAGAACTGACCAATCAGAGGACTTCATTTTACAGATTAAATAAGATATTATGAAAGTTATCCACTGGTTACAAAAACACCATTTTTATATTGACATAAGACATTGTACATCCATAATTTACTTTAAATTCACATATTTTGCGTGTTTTCAGATGCTTTGAGACCAGATGGCAAGAGCATCTCAGTGTTTAACGCTAACAGAGTGAAAGTACCAACAGGGCCTCCTAAGAACATAACTGGCTATGCAACCCTCACTGACCAACCTGGCTATCTGATGGTTAAGTTCCCTGTGGCACCTGTCGCTGCGCCATGTAAGTATACATTAACATTTGGGGTTATCCCGTGGCACCTGTCGCTGCGCCATGTAAGTATACATTAAAATTTGGGGTTATCCCGTGGCACCTGTTGCTGCGCTATGTAAGTATACATTAAGATTTGGGGTTATCCCGTGGCACCTGTCGCTGCACCATGTAAGTATACATTAACATTTGGGGTTATCCCGTGGCACCTGTTGCTGCGCCATGTAAGTATACATTAACATTTGGGGTTATCCCGTGGCACCTGTTGCTGCGCCATGTAAGTATACATTAACATTTGGGGTTATCCCGTGGCACCTGTTGCTGCGCCATGTAAGTATACATTAAGATTTGGGGTTATCCCGTGGCACCTGTTGCTGCGCCATGTAAGTATACATTAACATTTGGGGTTATCTTACAGTTTCACATTCAATGGAATGGTTTAAAGAAACTGCATAATTATGAGTTTTCCACTGGTTACAAAAATACCCTTTTTATATCTGAAATTCACAGCAAATATGCTATTGGATACTAACCATTATCAAATACAACATGAATTTGTCCATAATATCAAAAATTATTATCAAAATTATTATTTAATGATAAATTATTTTTTGTTTTAGATATTGTGATAAAGCTTGGGCCAGTTGTAAATGGAGAATACCAATACAGTGTTGTGACTGACAACTTTAAGGCCTCACTCTTTGTTCTTGCCAGAGACGTACAGGAGTTCTACGCAAAATACAATGCTGAAGTTCTACCATTCTTGAAAGCTGAAGGGTTTACTAACTTCCTTAACAAGCCTGTCAAGACAAATCAAGATCCTACTTGCATATATTAGAACAATACTTGCATATACCTACTTGCATCAACTAGAACAGGAATCATCAGGACCCTACTTGCATATATTAGAACAATACTTGCATATACCTACTTGCATAGACTAGAACAGGAATCATCAGGACCCTACTTGCATATATTAGAACAATACTTGCATATACCTACTTGCATAGACTAGAACAGGAATCACCAGGACCCTACTTGCATATATTAGAACAATACTTGCATAAACTTACTTGCATAGACTAGAACAGGAATCATCAGGACCCTACTTGCATATATTAGAACAATACTTGCATAAACTTACTTGCATAGACTAGAACAGGAATCATCAGGACCCTACTTGCATATATTAGAACAATACTTGCATAAACTTACTTGCATAGACTAGAACAGGAATCATCAGGACCCTACTTGCATATATTAGAACAATACTTGCATAAACTTACTTGCATAGACTAGAAAAGGAATCATCAGGACCCTACTTGCATATATTAGAACAATACTTGCATATACCTACTTGCATCAACTAGAACAGGAATCATCAGGACCCTACTTGCATATATTAGAACAATACTTGCATAAACTTACTTGCATAGACTAGAACAGGAATCATCAGGACCCTACTTGCATATATTAGAACAATACTTGCATATACCTACTTGCATCAACTAGAACAGGAATCATCAGGACCCTACTTGCATATATTAGAACAATACTTGCATATACCTACTTGCATCAACTAGAACAGGAATCATCAGGACCCTACTTGCATATATTAGAACAATACTTGCATATACCTACTTGCATCAACTAGAACAGGAATCATCAGGACCCTACTTGCATATATTAGAACAATACTTGCATATACCTACTTGCATCAACTAGAACAGGAATCATCAGGACCCTACTTGCATATATTAGAACAATACTTGCATATACCTACTTGCATCAACTAGAACAGGAATCATCAGGACCCTACTTGCATATATTAGAACAATACTTGCATATACCTACTTGCATCGACTAGAACAGGAATAATCAGGACCCTACTTGCATATATTAGAACAATACTTGCATATACCTACTTGCATCGACTAGAACAGGAATGATCAGGACCCTACTTACATATATTAGAACAATACTTGCATATACCTACTTGCATTGACTAGAACAGGAATCACCAGGACCCTACTTGCATATATTAGAACAATACTTGCATATACCTACTTGCATCAACTAGAACAGGAATAATCAGGACCCTACTTGCATATATTTGAACAATACTTGCCTATACCTACTTGCATAGACTAGAACAGGAATCATCTAAATTCTACTTGCATAAACAGAACAATAGTCTCCAGGACCCTACTTGCATATACTAGAACAATTGTCATCGGGACCCTATTTGCATACTTGCATACATTAGAACAATACTCATAAGGACCCTACTTGCATAACAGATACTTTGCTTTATAACAATGCAATATACTGTGATTTTAATATCACAATATCATATGTTAAATGTGAAGTACAAGTGCTTGAGTTATTTATGTAAATAAATATTTGTGAAATCATATTGGCTTTATTGAGACTTAAGAGGCAATAATAGACAGAGAATAACCTTTATTGGCCCTCAATATAAGTAAATAGTTTGACAAAATGTGAGATGATGCTGATTCTAATATTTGTGGATGGCTTGAGAACTTTAGGTTTTTAAAGCAGTGATGAATATGGGGGATGGCCCCAATAAGGAAAATAAAAAATTCAAGGCCAAGAAAATTTTGGGCCAAAATCCACCCCTCCCCACATAAACAATCAAGATGACAAGCTGAAATTCCTTGGCACTCTCTTATAATTTTAGCCATTGTTTTTTCAATTTTGGGCCAAATTTTTAAGAACTTGGGGACAACTGATTTGTAGTTTCTAAAAAGCACATACCTTTTCACTGATTTTCACTCCACTTGGTAAAGGATTTTTTTTGAGATTGTCGATAAGTTTGAATAAGCCATTAAGTTGTTTTGTCCTGTCACTCTCATTCTTTGGTGTGCTGATTCTATTGGCAAAGGCCTGGTTTCTGAAAGGAAGTGTCTACGTAATAAATAATAAAGTCAAGATAATTGAATATTGTATCACTGATAGGAAAATCAAAGGGATTGGTCTACAAAAAGTATCTGTGTAAAAAAGCGTCCATTACTTATTGATCACCCCTCGTACATGGATGTTATTATTTATTTAAACATGACTGTTTCCGTGCCTTCTATAAACTGTGAATAAAGTCAATATATCACCCGATATTTATTCATTGATACAATACCTGGTTATGAGTAATATGTGATGTCATAGTGGTGGGCCATAGTAATGGCCGGCCAAAATGAATATTTGAAAAATTGTGGTGAGTTATCATGTTCAAATCGTTATATAAATTGATAAGCAAATACATAGTAGAAAAATTCTCATTTGGATACAACTCCTTAAACATTATGGTCGAAGAAAATTTTTTAACTGGCTTAATAAATTCACATTGACATAAATTTTTGTTAAATATAATTTTCAACAATTTGATTTGTACAAGTACAGTATATTGCTGCAAAAGAGGCTGCCAATAGAAAAATGTGTACAAAAACTGCTCAAGTATTTTCAACAAATAATGAATATGAGATAAAAACTGTACATATCGAACAACTTACACGGCATGAGTTACTCTCTTGCTGGTAAATGTAGAAGGTTTACCATCTTTGTCAAGCTTAACACTGCCTAAAATGAAAATGAAATTGTTATAGTGATATACAAAGATATACAACCTATAAAAAGGTAATTGAAGGTATTTGATAGCCTTTCGCATTATATTTTCATTGCTAAATGTTCATCTTATATTGTTAGAGACTCTGCCACTTTCAGAAAGTTATCTCTCTCACAGACAATGAAGTGTCAAAACCCTAAAAATTGGTAATTCAACTGGCAGACCAAAAGGAAGATATGATAATACAACTGTCTTTTTGGCCATAAATTGGTCTAAACCAATCAAAATCCAGATAAGTTTCAGGTATTCTAACAGCAAAATCAAGGGCTGACTCAAATTTCATACATTCTAGCTTTCACTTCTAGAATTCTACATGCGAGGAGTGTCGTCGAAATTGACCTCCAGGTGCAGAATTGCAGAATTTTGAACTTGAATAAATTCCAGCAGAATTCACCAATTTCACTTAATAAATTCAGCATGCATTTCAACATTCAGAAAACTAGTGGTGAACTTTTTTATTTTTCTATCATAGTCAGATTGTTATTAAGGAATCAGATCAAACGATCAAAGCCTATATTTTTTTCTTTTGTCCCCAAAGTCACACTGGAACACCCTGACAACCACAACATCAGATTCAAAAATCTAAAATGGACAGGTGACATACCTTTCTCTACCCTCTGTAAGAATAATCTCAGCTTCTTCTGTGTACCTGGGGACATTTGCTGGATTCCCTCAATCAACTCTACAATAACAAAAGATGACTTATTTAAAATTGGAAAACAGTAAGACTCCTTAGGTAGAACACCTCTGTAAATCGAACACCTTCATAAGTGGTACATTTTTCAATTCCAGTTACCCTCAGTATATTGTTATGACTTATATGTCATTTATATGACGATTATTGAGTAAACCTAATGTAAAATAGGCCTCTGTTAGTGGAACACCTCCCAAAATGAACACTTATAAAGGTACCAAATGTGTTCACTTTCAGAGGTTTTTCTGCATACATAATAGGATTTATTTGTACTGATGCCCTTTTAGGGCCAAACGTACATCCAACATACAATTTTCATTAACAGTAAAAATAGCAAAGCAATAAAGTAAAGAAAATAGGATTACATTCTTATATTGCAAGTTAAAAATCCTAGTGTGACTTGCATAAGGTCTATTTGCTTTTAAGAATGCATATGGGATGGTAAAAACAAAGTTCAACGACTTTCTCTATGTAAACATTGAAAGTAAACATTGATTTCAATGTTTTAATTATGATTTACCGTATTCTCTCTAATGAGCACACAGTTCCAATGCGACTTTTATGTTGAATATGGTCTCGAGAAAATGCAAAGTTGAATGCATTATTTTTGATTATTTACACAACAAGATATCAATGCAGAGAAAGAATACAGGAACTGTAGGGAATGTAAACCTTGGTGGTAACAACTATAATAAAGATTATGGGGGTAATATTTTTTCTAAATTTTTTGTTTGTGCACTTATCATCTCTCAATATCTTACCTTTTTAAATTTAAACACATTAGAGAGAATATTAATTCTAGCTAGTAATTGAGTTAGAGTGGGACCCGAGATAAAGGTAATACCTTGTTCATCCGAGCCGATTTTTAAATCTGGAGGTCTGTTGTCGATTGGTTTGGCATCTGGAACATCTTCACCTGTGGGCTCAGTGACTTCTGCCCCACCTTCAGTCCTGACTGGTGATGCCATCTATCTGTAGATTTCAGACAACAGGGTTGATGAGATGGATTTAGGATGTCCTGTTAGACCCAAACCAGTGGGAATATCCTGAAGAAAATGCTTTACATATAAATATGTATTGTTAGACCCCGAAATATAATCATGAGAACAATCAAAATATACATTTTCAAATGCAATAAGATAAGATGATCGTTCTTTATAGTGATAGGTTTACATACATGTAACTCAGCCCAGCCTACCTGGGCTTATCAACCACTTCAAATTTAAACATTATAAATTATACAATATGTAAAAGGAAATATCAATCTGTTCTATACACATGATTATGTATTTTGACATTGGGTAAATTGTCAATTCTGGTGAATGGGAACATGTGAATCAAAGTGCATCTTTGCGTACGATTCCAAAGCCATCAGAAGCTTTTCAAAGTAATACTTACGAGACACATATGAACAATTATGAACAATGCACGTACACTAATGAGAACAAATTTTACTCAAATTTTATTCACAAGACTGCGTTTAGTCGATTCGTTCACATGTGATGGGGGCTATAAAAGTACCTCATATTATACATCCTGATGGAATAATCTGATAATAATTAATACTTGATATATTTTTTTGAAATACATTATCAGCAATTTTTAAAGGAGAGAAAATAATTCATATTAACCAATAAAATCTTGCAGTGATTAGGCACCAATGAGTATAAGATAATTAGTATTATTTAAATTTCTTTTATACATTGCTTTACAATTTGACCAAATGTGGGATTTAAAAGTACGAAGTTCATGACTATTACAACAGAAAGTCAACTTTTACTGTACAATTTCCCACTCACTGCCAGATAATATAAAGACAGTTACACTCAATTACCTAATAAGTTATATGAACTCTGTCCTTAGATTCCCATTATGTATTTAGCCTGACATGAACCTATTGGTTCAATATACTAATTGACAATTTCTTGATACTCAGCCAAATATAATATCTATTTAGTGTTTACTAATAGAAAATTTCTGCCAGAATCATATTATGAAGCATTTCATATTAGAGTGCTTTTGTAGCTACTAGGAATGAGTTATGAGAGTGAAATAATTCTGAAAATGTTAGATGACCATAATCTTGGGAATGTACTAAAAACCCTTCGACCTACGACCCTTCGACCCTACGACTTACTGGGTGTCAAGAATTTTTGGAATATATTTTATTGAAAAACCCTTCGACCTCTGATTTCCCAGTCCAGTTTACTAAATGATTACGTATAGTTCCAACTTGAGCTCCCTGTGCATGCAAATACGCATTTTACCTGGTAATTGTCAAGCAAAAATGTTTCAGTAGAAAAATTTCTAAAAAAGTTCGTCTACACAGCAAAAATACGAACGCCGAAAAAAACGTACGCATTTCGTCTTATTTTACTTTTTTACTAAAACTTGAAAAGTAGTTGAACGATTTTGAGATCAAAAGTTCAATGGGATTTGCTCCACCTCGCGTTGCTGTTAACTAGTTCTGAAATGTTTCATATCTATGTCTAATAAATATAGTTGTATAGATGTGTTTGTAATAACCTTTATGCCCTTAAAATGTATATATTCAGGGGGGGGGCATTCGTGGGTTCAAGTGGACCACTCCATTGGCCAAATATTCTCTCAAAATCAGTACAATTTTTCACGATTCTGAGCATTTTCAAGATTTCTGGGCCACTTGAAAATTGTCAAATGTTCACCCCTTGATCCTTTTGAAAACCTTGAATTGGCAAAAGCTGGTTATACGAACCTGATATGACCTAGCTTGCAAGCTTTTTCTTGACGGTTTGTGTTTATTTTCCTTGCAAAACAAAGTATCTACTTATTTAGTTGGCATTAGATTCTTAACTATACAAATCCAAATTGAATCAAAGTTGATAAAATCAAAAGACGGTTGTCTTTAAACTATATAAAAAATTTGACCTCCTGAAAAATGCACGATGCGCCACTGTTACAGAATGTGATGGGAAAAGCACAAATATTTTTACTGAGGAGGTAAGAAACGTTCACATTCGAATGTGCTTGAATACATTAAACCTGCACATCGCTCCAAAACGCAATATGTTGACATATATTGTTTTTACATTTTTAAGCTCTAATATAAAGTTTATGTAAATAAAAAAAAAATTATCTGCGTAATGTCAAAGAACAATCATTTAGTTAAAAAAATAAAAAGGCGAATGCGGGATTCGAACCCGGGCCTCCCGCGTGCTTAGCGAGCATTCTTCCGCTAGACCACCGTGATTTTAAGGATGGTGCGAGTAATTAAACGCTACTTATTTTGAATGCTATGATTCGGAAGTGACGTCACGTTCTTCATTTAGAAACCTTTCCGAAGTCCAGCTTTAAATATCTTTAACTCTCTTGGGACAGATTCTTAAGTTCTATACACAAAGTAATATTTCCAGCAACTTCATATGGACTGAGAAATAGCCTATCTAGAAGGTCGAAGGGTTTTTATAAAAATATATTTCAAAAATTCTTGACACGCTGTAAGTCGTAGGTCGCAGGGTCGAAGGGTCGAAGGGTTTTTAGTACATTCCATAATCTTGATGCTCTTTGCTTTATATTCCCAAATGTTTTCTACATCGCTTGCCTTAGTTTGTGCAACTATGGAGGTTTTCAGCTGCCCTTAGCCGATCAAGACTTCTTTTTATTGGTTGAGTAAAAATTCTACCAATAATCAACAAGGCATTTAACATGCAAAATATCACCAGTGCCATTTGTTACAAATGCCGAACACAAACCACAAAACGCTGAACATAATCTGCCAAACTCCATCCATAAAAAAGTTGGAGATTGTAACAATATGCCAACCCTATTGTGATGGTGACATGAAAATGACGGATATCACAGAAATCAATGAAGTGCCACTCAAACTCTCTGGAAATTTACATTACAAATGGGTGCACTGCTAACTTACAGAGTAAGTAACCCCATGATGTAAGTTTTCCACTTTCAGCCACGCCTTTTTGATACTGAAGTGGGCAAAAGCCTAATTTTGATCAAATTTGGAGGATATTCATACACAAGTCGCAGGACACTTGACAGCTACATGTACTGTACATGCACTCCCCACACTCTTACTTAGTGCAGTGCTTTAGACAGGTGTATTCAGTAAATTGTTTGATTCTAAAGATCTCCAAGTCTGAAGAAAGCAGTTTTTTATAGTGTTGTCGCGATTAATCGATAAATCGCGATATACATCGCCAAAGCTGGTTCTGGCGATGCATCGATGTCTGAAACAAAACATCGATGTTTTTAAAAAAATTAATTTGCTAAAAATCGCCCTTTCTTATCTTATTTTGATGCAAATTGCTTACCTTTTTTTCGTGTCTTATTTTATTTTCCAATGTTTTCTGATATTGTTTCGCTTTAAAACTGTTTTAGCAAGTCGAAATGAACCATAAATCTAAAAAAAAGTTACTTTACTTTCATTTCACCATTACTTACTCACTTCGAGAGCCATGTTAGATGTTCAATTTATGGCTCTCGAACGGGGAAATGGACAGCTGAATAATCGTGACCTCTGAAACACGAATTGAGTCGATCAGCGTCGATCAGCGCCTTACTTTTGTTCTCTAACTATGTCATACATCATTATCATCCTTCCATGCAAGTATTGGAGCGCTGAAGTACTTTCTTTTCAATCAAGACTTATAATTGTTAGTCGAGTGAATCTTTTTTTCTGCCTAATTCCAATGTGGCGTTTTCTGCTCGGACATTTTCGTAAATCTCCGGAGGTTGTCCGAACCTAACTCATTCTCAAAATTCATTTCGTTCGTTGCGTATCTCGCTCATATTGGAAATGGGTTGAAAAAAACATTCACTCGACGAACGATTTACAAGTCTTGATCGCAAATGAAGTATTTCAGCACTCCAATACTTGCACGGATTGATGATACCGATGGAAGACACAGTTAGAGACCAAAAGTAAGCCCCTGATCGACGCTGATCGACTTAATTTGTGTTTCAAGGGTCACTATTATTCAGCTGCCCAAGTGCGCCGTGGGAAAGCAATTATATCAAAATCCACATAGCTTTCGCAGTAAGTAAACCGTTACTAGAAGTTCCAGGATGTACCAGCGTACTCTTAATAATTTGTTCTGTTTGGTATTTTAGTGCATTAGCGTTCGAAATTTCAGTGCACTTTTCTCGAACTTTTTCTCGATGTACACATGGGCTTTCAACTAGTCTCTAATTGAAAGCCCATGATGTACATCCCGATGTGCATCGATGTTTTCTACTGAAAATTGCCGATGCATCGATGTTCGATTATGGCACATCGTGACAACACTAGTTTTTTATAGAAAATGCCTCTAAGATTACTGACCTGAGGCCTAAAAGTGAACAAGAAACTGAAAAAAATTGATTCTGATCATTTCTTACGGATTTCCTGTTGTCGAGCCTTTGTATTTATATTTGAACTGCATTGTTTATTTTAACAAATTCTATATAGTTATGAGATGAGAGAGACCTAATAATTGTTCACTTACCTGTTACCAGATCACAAGAAAACGCATTTTAGTGGAGAATATTTACAAATCTGGATGGTCGATCTCAGATCTTGTTTGAAAAGGAAGGGAAAGGCCCAAAATGACGTCATTTGAGGATTTCCTTCACTGGACGAAAAAGCAGTGTGCAACATTATTTCCCGGGGGAAAATTCATTTAGGGGCTGATCTGGGAACCAACAAGGGGGAGGGGGGCAAATTTCAGGTTAGAGGAAAAAGATTTTGGCCCCCTAAAACCCAAAAGTGGGCCCAAATTTTGAGGCCCATTTTTTCAAAATTTGGCCTGGAATTAAATAATAAGGCCTTGGAAGGCCCAGTCATGACCAAAAAGGGCCACTTTTTTCCAAACCCGACGTCATGTGCGCTGCACATTCCTATGTTAAATTCAAATTTATTAAATCGTTCCATGCACGTTAAAGTTGTGCAAGCTTAACTTCTTTAACTTTAATATACAATTTTTCTTTTCTTGGGCCCACCCAAGGCCCCCAGCCCCCCTCCCCCATATCCGCCAGTGCTATACCAGGCAAATATGACATGAGAACTCTGGAGTATGATGATTAGTTCATATATCATGCGTAGGCATCACAGTTCAATGATATCTTCCACCGCTAATAGGAAGGTAACTGGGATTTTGGTTTTACACTGATGGTTTTAAGATAACTGATAAGTGGTTATCATACTTCAGAGTTCCCATGTCATAAGCCTGATTTGGTTCAAATATCAAAGCATAACGTCAACTATAAAGTAATGAAATTCGATGAAAACTAAAAATATCGAAATAGACAAATACAGTCCGCCATCTTAGATGCAAAGCCACGGTTACTGCTCCCAACTTCACTTGATACTGACCAGTGTGTTTAGACAAGCTCTTTTCGTAAGATATTATTTGAGCTAAAACATGCATGACATCCATCATCTTTTTCAGAAAGGATTCTACTATGCATTACCAATTAGCACAATTGTCAGCATAGTATTCAATTGAGATCGAGTATAATGATTTCCGTTGACACCAATGTGAAATTTCAAGTGTCCCGTTCTAAACCCGACGTCACGCGCGCTGCACATTCCTATGTTAAATTCAAATTCATGAAATTGTTCCGTTCACGTTAAGTTGTGCAAGCTTAACTTCTTTAATTTTAATATACAATCATCAAGCAAAATACTGTACATGATCTTCATGACTAAAAAAATGTTTGAAATTGCAGTGCGTTTTTCAAAAAGATGAACAAATATAAAAGTGATAATTGTTCTTTTTTACAAACATTTGAATTTCCCACCATTCTAGCGACAAAGGCATATATTTAACGTCAAATAATAAACTATGCAATCTTTCGGGCAAAAGATGATGAGTTTTACCGTAAAACTCGTTTCGTAATTTCGAGTCATTAGGGAGTTTAAGCATGCACTGTTTTTCACAACCTAAACGCGAACAGAAAATATTTAAGCGAGGCATTTGTTTGGGCGATTGGTCATACGTACTGGTCGGCGTTTCGATTTTATTTACAAGCTTAAACTCCCTATTGTTTATTTACGTGGGTATTGTGTTACGCTATAACCTTGTATTCCTTTTTGCTAAAACTCATCCTGACATTTTTTGATTTTTTGTAAGGACGAGAACATTTCAATTAGTATAGATACCATCTTCGCACGCTCGGTCTCCGACGGTAGCCGAGTGAACGAAGATGATATATACTGTATTACAAACATCCGAGGTGTTACAATGTACTTAGTAATACAATGCTAACTGCCGTAATTTGTCAGTGCTGTTTTTATTTGATTTTATTGTTCATTCTTAACATTACACAGATTATCTCAAAAGATCACATTCGGGACTGTCAATCCACGTGTTGCCATCGCAACAAAGATAATCCCGGAAGTAAGCTGGGTCGGTGCTCATGTACCCCTCTGTCTCGGGGCAATCGTCTACCATGAAATAAGAGGCTGCTGGAAGTCCTGGGACCCCCACGTCAGGTCTATCTGCTTCAGACATGGCGTTAATCTTCTCACAATACTCTGTTCCCCTCGTTTTACCCTATAAATGAAATAATGAGAATGTTACATATTCGTTGAACATTGTTGAACGTATTCGTTTAACTAAAATGAGAATGTTCTTTGAATAGCTTTGGACATGGTTTATGTTATGTTTATTGAATATCATTGGATGAACATCGTTGAACATATACGTTTATTTAAAGTGAGAATGCTATGTTCATTGAATATAATTGAACGTATACATTTATTTAAAATAAGAATGCAATGTTCGTTGAACATCATTGGATGTATATGTTTATTTAAAATGAGAATGCTATGTTCGTTTAACATCACTGAATGCGTTTATTTAAAGTATATACGTTTATTACTACAAGATTTCTATGTTCGTTTAACAGCATTTTACGTATTTATCAAAAATGAGAATGTTATGTTCGTTGAACACCGTTGAACGTAGACATAAGGGAACATGGGGCAAAACGGCCCTATGGGGCAAAGTGGCCCATCGAAATATCTTTTGAATAATAAAAAGATGGTTCTTCAAAAGTCATCCTCCGACCACAGGGCTTCAAAATCAAGAATATATTCTTTCTTTTTACCCCCTGCGATAAGCAGTTAGCATTTTCCCGTATAAGAACTCGCAATTTGATTGGCCGTCGCAACACTGCGACAGAAATCATGTGTAAGTCAATGCGCATAATTAGATCACGTGATTCAGTTTAATCGGGCGCCTCCAAATTGGTTATAGCAGGGGGAAGAAGGAGGTACGGATTCTGGATACCTGCTTAGGAGGATGTCAAAAGTCACATAATCGAATTTTGAAATTTCCGCCACCTTCTCGACTGCCCATTTTTAACCTACTAGCGTCTCGCTTTACGTAAGAGATAATTCTACTTTTCACTCTTTTTTTGCAAATTAGCCCTCCAACGAGAATCTCTAAAAAATCCGGCAACAATAGAATATCGTTTTGATTTAACATTTTACATAGGGTATGCATATTTATTCTTTATTTGTAAAAATTTCGAGCTACAAATATCAGGCAAATTAAAATGACTTCTATTTGAAAATTCACATGTCTTTGGGACAAAGCGGCCCACAAAGGTTATAACATACAAAAATCTTATTGTACAAGAACAATTGATTTTCAAATATAACGATTTTAACATTTGGAATTTGTACCTTATTTCTATCCGACACATATCGAATGACTAGAATTATGGTAGCGGTTAAGAATACTTTATCTGTCAAAGGTTTGAACGTCTGAGAAGAGATGTGTGTGGACGAGTCTTGTAATTGATTAATTTTGCTTTTAAAACCCATGTAACAGAGGGAGGGCCGTTTTGCCCCACCCATGGGCCGTTTTGCCCCTCTCTCGACATTATTTTTTGCCATTGAAAAATCACAGAAGATAGTTCTAGGCAAGTATACAACACTCGAAAAATGTAAACCACAACCCATTAATAAAGTGGAACATCAAAGTGCGTGATGATTGACAGATAAGAAAATACCCCGTACGGAACAACTCAAAATTAATTTTTAGGGCCGTTTTGCCCCAGGTTCCCTTACGCGTATCTAGTAAAATACTATGTTTGTGGCAAATAAGACGGAAGAATATCCTATCCTGGTGTGGCCTCATGCCAATGTAATCTGCACATGCAAATATAGTGTCATCCCACGTTGAAAAATATTGAATATTTTTCCAATGTGGAATACGTCTCCTTATATTTATCTTATATTTATGCCCGTATTTATGTCACGTGTAATGTATAGACCAATGAGAGAATGGGGAATATGACATTGATATAAAAAAACTCAAATATTTTGCAGCATTGTGAATGAATTTTTTGCCACAGTAGTTGACGCTGGAGCATATCAAACTATGACTTACCGAACTATTTGGGCTTGGTGTATCTAAAAGGAATGGGTCTGGGAAATCAATTGCCCTATCCAAACAAATGTCACTACATTCTTTGAGATCTTCATTGTCGCACACGGGAACATCTCCAATGTCAAACTGATAGTAGCTTTCCAGGGGAACTGAGATATCTACGGCATCTTCAACCTTCACTGCGCATCGGCACCTTAAACACATAGAACGCGCGTACATAATGGCATCGGATATTATGTAATAACACCGGAAAACAAGTTGCTACTTCCGCTTAGCCGTGTCGGCTAGCCTTCGTGGCTCAGTTGGTAGAGCATCAGGCTCTGAATCACTGGAAGATCCTGATTTCGATTCCTGCAAGGTACTAATTGAATTTATCATATTCTCTTACATGTCTGCATCTGACTGGTTACACTACAGCTTCGCAGAGGCGCCCTCGGGTCGGTGCAATAAGTTCTTAGGGACTCGTAGAATAATTTCATAATTTTTATTTAAATCAATTTAAAACATGAGGAAACGTGTACAACTTGAAAAATTGAACTGTTCTTTGGAAAGCTAGGTATACTCCCCTCCAAAAGTTTGACAACCTTAGCTCCCTCATTGAACTACATGAACGGGTTAGCCTTTTATTTGCATAACGTATATAGAAAAAACTACTTTTAAGGCTGGAAATATGAATTGATGTCATTTCCATACCTCCAATTTTCTATTTTTTCAACAATTACAATAGATCGGAAATGGATGAATAAACGAATGTAAACCAATGGGAAATGGTAGGTTTGCCGCAAGTCATATGACAGAATTTTTATCCATCCGAGTTTTTGCAAAAAATCAAGTAAGGTTGTCTATTGAATTTGCTAACTTTATCTTTCAAAAATTGATAAGTTTCTTCAGGTTCAAAAAAGTTATAGGTATTCAAAGTCAAATTAAATTTTCAAAAACCTCCTCCCATTGAAATAACACAGGAGGCGAAAAATGATTTTCAAAAATGTCTTTGAAGCTCTGTAACTTAGTTTTCACAAAGTAAACTAAACACCTGGCGTACGAAAAGAGTACGCGTAAGACAATTCCATTTTCTATTTAAATATATTTTTGGGTGTATCTTTTACTAGATAAATATCCTGAAATCAGATTTGCCCCGAACCCACCATTTCCCATTGGTAAACATGGGAATGTCGATTTTCAAAAATTCATCAAATTTATCATCAATTTTCGACCTATTATAATAAAGGAAAAAATTAGAAAATTTGGAGGCATGAATGAAGGCATGGTATGAAGTCAAATTACATTTTTCATCAATATTATAAGTATTTTCGTCCCAGGTTATGTAAATAAAAATTAATAAAGAGGCTTTAACACGTACTTCAATGAGGGAGCTAAGGTTGCCAAACTTTTGGAGGGGAGTGTAACATGAAAAAATGTACAATTCTAGTAAAAGCAAAGTGAGAGGAAAAAATTGTTCTCTTCATGAACTGTTTTTGTGATATCAAGGTAACATGCTGAAAGGTGTACTGTTTTGTGAATGCAAGGCAACGTGTAAGCAATGTGAAATGAAAAGGTGTACTATTCTTGTGAAAGCAAGGTAATATAAAAGTTGTCGTATTCTTGTTAAAGAAAGTCAACATAAAAAGTGTACTGTACTATGTTCTTGTGAAGACAAGGTAACATGAATAATTGTATTGTTATTGTGAAAGCAAGGTAACATCATGAAAATGTACTGTTCTTGTGAAAGCAACTGAGATAACATGAAAAATTGTACAATATTAAAGATGACTGGGATTCTACTCACAGTGCTCCAGTGGTTGAGCCAATCAAAGAGGCGACTGTTGCAATGTATAAAAAGTACATGTTTGTTGTTCTGATTTTCTGGAAAGCAAAAGTTTAAACTTCGAACATAATTACGTACAAATATCATTGTATATTACACTTTATTTTCGTCCAGTGCAGTTTTCAGAATTCCCGGGCAGACAATACTCCGGGCAATACGTATCTTATTATCCTTAAATTGAGGGAGCTGTGAAATCGGTATTTTTGATCACATGGTACTGAATCAGCCAATCATATCGAACAATTTCTAGCAATGACATAATACTAGTAAATATATGCCACACCATACGTACAAATGTACATTAGGTAAACAGAAATATATTGGCATAAGTTAAAATCAATCGTTAATTAAATGTACTATGTCTTACCTCCACTTGAATTTCGTAAAAGTGCATAGCAAAACAATTAACATCTATATTAAATGCAAGTACGTGGGAAAACAACGTTTGTTTTAACCCTGATAAATTATATCTTAGAAGTTATAAATGTCGCATAGTTCTCACTACGCCCATTTTTATAGTACAATGTTATTGTAGATAAATATGTTCACGATGACAAATTAAAAAAACGCAACACATTTTTCATTGCGTAAACAATAATGAACTTACATTGGCGTTATTGAGAGATTGCATCATAGAAGATGGTCGCCAGAACTTCTATAAATTGCACGGTCAATACGACTTGCTATATATATACTTTGCTCACGCACATCAATGATGTACTTAAATATATTTACAATGGTACTTCACCAAACTATTTAAACTTAAAACCAAGAGAAATTAAGAAATTACTGGAAAATAGATACATACAATTTTGGGAAACTAAAATAAAATCAAATAATGGTAAATTGAGGTTTTATAAGATAATAAAAGCAAAATGGAACAAGGAACCCTACTTGGATTTAAACAAAAATGAAATAGACAGAAATAACTTGACAAAGCTAAGAATTAGCGTACATAAATTAGAAATCGAAACAGGTCGTTACACAAAACCAATTACCCCTATTGAAGAAAGAAAATGTTTAATGTGTAACAAGAAAACCGGTTCAGAATGCCATTTCATATTAGAATGCAATAAGTTAAAAGATGTTCGGTCAAGTTACATGGATAAAATAAAAAAACACTGTCAAAATTTAGAAAACATGAATAACGTGGAACATAAATTAATGTTTCTATTTAATTCAGAGGGAATAATATTAAATATACTAGCAAAATATATATCAAATATTTTCATCGAGAGAGAAAAAAACACGAAATGCATCCAATAAAATCTTGCAATGATCAAGCGCCCTTTGATTAGTTAATATAATATATAGATAATTAGTTAAGCTTTTTCATTTTTTCTGTTTAAGCTGTACACTTTGCCCAAATGTGGGATACAAGTATAATAAAGCTCATAATAATAATATGCATGCCACTGGACCATATAGTACCATGCCAAATTGAACACTGTTTGTGGGGGGGGGCGTTGGTGTTTCGCAAAAATCAGAAGATTCCATTATAATAATGCAGATGCGAGTGAGTAGTTACCAGTTTCACCACCAGGTGGCTCGTTCGGGTCGGATAGCATGGCGGGTATAGTAGAGAGTTCCCTTTAACTTAAATTACATCTAGCGGTTCAATTTTCAAAATGTTATCTGTCCAATACAAGAAAAGATTTTTAACTTTTTGTTTGTTTTGTAACATGGGGTCTATGGGGAATCAACCCGAACTAGAAGTCACATTTTCAAAAGAAATTAGATTTTCAAAGTTGATAAACAATTTTCTCGAAGTACTTTTACATGTAGATTTCAAATGTGACATCACTTTGACTGAATTTTGAATATTTAATGACGTAAATCAAGATTATTTCTACTCGCATTTAGTCTATTAAGAAGGTGATTCCAATCCAGGTCTGTCCACGGAAACAGTCATGTGCAACATTTGATTCATCAAATAAAAAACGTTCATCTTGAATAGTCCAAGTAAGCTTAGTCAATTTTAGATTCTAATATTTTGAAAAGTTCATATCAATTCGAAAAACGTTTTGGCTCAAACATACGAGTATAGACTAAACCTAGAAGACAAGAATTATTTAGACAGAAAAACCACACTTGAAACCTCTACTGTACTAGATTAACCAAGCATGCTAAAATTTTATGAAGATTATTCAGGGGAATAACATATACTGTTTGCCAAATTAAAATATCTTATTATCTACCCCTGAAAATGAAACGGTCGAAAGGTTGACTTGAAACGTGTAGACAACGTCGTTAAAGTGGCCTTTCACATAGACACCGGAATAGCCTGACTACGGTATAGTCAAATACCGTTGTCACAAATGGCGGACATAACCGTCGCTTCAACTGTTTAATCAATTGGTCCTCATTTCATGGGATTTTATCGTCGTTAATTCTGTGCATGCATTAAGCTCTTGTCGTGATAATGTATCATATGAAATACCATTTTCGATCAAATTGTGTCGTGAATCGCCACAATATAGCCTCTTCGATATCGTCAATGACTTAACGGAATCTGAATTTGAGTGATTTAGAAAGACAACGGCATATGGTAATTACAGTGTCCGTTGTCCCGTATCTCATTTTGATCGGTTAAATTTAAGACTTTATTTCGATGGTAGAACATTATTAACTGTACAATGAGTATTAAGACACTTTGATTGATTGTTGTTCCAAAGGAATTTAGTCTAGGTGCTCTATTAAACATACAGTTCATGAAAATCTAATTGAAGCGACGGTTATGTCCGCCATTTGTGACGACGGTATCTGATTTTACCGTAGTCAGTGTTACGCGGTAAACACGATACAAAAATATGTCATATTCCGCAACGAATATGGCATATTCACTTGCGGTGTATGACAGATTCACCTGCGGTAAATGGCATACACACTTACCAATGAGAACGTGATACGGAAGTAATTGAACGAACAAGTATATTATTATAATGATTACTGAATCAACCAAGGGCGTTACAATACCCGGGAATTTATCGGTTCGTGCAGTACTTGTTTGTGATAGCGCCCTCTGTAGGTCACTGTGCTTATAGCCTACAGTAATACGGGGTAGGATATCGGGAATTCGGTCAGTTTCCATCCGTCGATTTCGCTATGAATTGAAGCAAGTGTGACCACTTTATCCACTTAAACAATTTGATAATTGATTAAATCTTTAAACAAAATCGATAAACACGTTATACACTTCCTATCTCCTTAGAAATTAGCATGTATTTATGGATTGTGTTTTCGAACAAGGCTCGACCCAAACCAATAGGGAAATCCTTATGCTAATTAGTATGACGTCATATTTTCCTGGGGAATCCTAGATTTCAAAGCCTCAGTCTGTTATTGTGTCAAATGTAAACGCTCTTTTGCAGACAGAAAATTGACAGATTAGCTTTTAACTTTCAGCTTTGATGTTTAAATATTCTGTATTTCTACCGGACTTCTTGTTGAATATCATATAATGTTATAACTTGATTTGGACCATTGCCTGATTGATCATTCTGAAATTTTGATTGTGACTCATGATTGATTGGCGAGAAAAATAATTCCTATTGTTTTCCAGCGAAGTCAAAATGTTACAGCATGAGTTATAATGTCGAGTTTGCATCATGTTAAATTCTGCTAGTGATTAGAAGTCCATGCACAAGCATACACATAAGAGACAAACACACCCAGGCTCCAGGCCGTGGATGGAAATATAAAACTATTTAAGGCACAAACTGGTATTTAATAGACCGATATGTAGTGTCCGCCATGTATTGAAGGTAAACAATCTGCATTATTAATGTTACTTCTATCAATACATGGATTGTGCAATGGAAAAGCAATGGCACAATCAAAAATGTGCATATCAATCGTGAATATCTCTCGGTTCAAAGCTTATTTCCAACAGAATCGTGTCAAAATATGTGTCTGAGTAACAGTTATACATTATAAGATCGCAAAATCTTACCAATTATCAGCCGAATGGCTAATTTTCAACGAAATGTCCTTAAGACAACAGCCCTGGGTCGCGCCTGAGACCAAAAACTATTTCAAATAGCCCTCCCCTAATTATATTGGATAATCACATTAATGCGTGCGCGCGCAGCTCATCCACTGAACGAAACGCCACTTCCCGCTGAAATCACCGGGTATTGATCTTTCCCTTGAATCAACAGTACTGTGTATCGAATATATTAATTTAGCAAAAGTATCAGTCACCAATCTTGCGTAATAAACTTGCTCAATCAATCTAGGATTCATATATTAGTACTCGACGCACTACCTATATTGGCAATCCAGCGTAGTTTTACATTTAGAGTCGATTCTCGCAACCAATCAAATCAAGGCTTTCTGTATCACGTTTTCACCTGCGGTATATGTCATATTCACCTGCGGTATATGGCATATTCCGCAAGTGAGTATGACATATTCCGCAGGTGAGTATCGGGTATTCACTGAAATCAATGTATCGCATATTCACTGCGGAATATCGCATACTCACCTGCGGAATATGCCATATACCGCAGGTGAGTATGGCATATTCACCCGTATCACAAATACCGCGCAACCATGAATGTATGCCATATACCGCGTAACAGTCAGGCTAATCCGGGGTGACATAAGAGATTTTAAGACGGAAAATCCAAAATAGCCACTTAACACTTCCCGTAAATTGAATTGCCTCCCATTATGGCTGTAGACTTTGCTCAAATTAGACAATACTATTTCTGTCATGAAATGGTCAATACAAGTTATTCCCGGGCGTACGCATAGAGAGATGAAGCCAAAGTTCCAGGACTGAGGATATCCATCAGGCTTAAAAAGGGTGAACCCCTGGATACGTTCAAAGAAGACCGAATAATCAATTCTTTTGTTGCAGATTATAATGCCAACAAACGAATATCGGTAGGGATATATAGTGAAGCTGTCCGTCAGATGTGGTCGGTTGGTCTGCTAGCTATGATTAGTATAGGTCCCGGTTTACGTTTCGTCCCTTCACTATTATAAGGTTCTAACTACCAATATGGGTCAAATGCATGTGAAAGTGGATTCCCCCTAAATTCACCATGCTCTTTTCAAAATTTAAGGTTATAAAGCTGTATCTCCAACATAAATAGGAGATTTTCAATGCAATAAGGTTCTATGTCCTTCATTTGAAAAAGATAAATACTGCTACAAGGTTCTATCTCTTGAGATAAAAGTTTTTAACATTCAATGTCATGATTCAAATTGGAGTTAAAACCTTTTTACATTTAATTACAGTGTCACTGTTCCACAACTGGATGACTCTAACTGCAGTTAGCTTCATTCAAGATGGTGGACAAAATTCGTTCGTTTTCGATAAATCTCCAATTACAGCCAAACCAAGCTGAATCTTGATCCCAAAAGTTTCGCCATGCAAACTAATAA